AATGGCAGCTACCGAAGGAGTTGGATTCACGAATGGTGAGCGTGAGAAAGGATTAAAGCTAGCATTCGTTGACATCAAACGAGCTTACTTTTACGCCCCAGCAAAGAAAGACATATTTATCAGGTTACCAGACGAGGAGTATGAACCAGGTATGTGCGGAAAACTATTAAAATCAATGTACGGAACCAGGGGCGCTGCGAGCAACTGGGAAGACTGTTACATGGAATTTGCTAACGTGGCTGGGTTCAAGAGTGGAATTGCGTCACCGTGCGTATTCAAACATGAGAGTCGAGCGTTATGGTTAACAGTTCATGGAGATGATTTCACGCTGTTAGGAGGTGATCATGATCTCGACTGGTTTGAAAATAAAATTAAGGAGGAGTTTGAAGTAAAAGTGAGAGGACGACTTGGACCAGGGAAGGAGGACATGAAGGCGATCAGAATTCTTAACAGGATTGTGGAATGGACGGAGGAAGGATTGAGATATGAGGCAGATCAAAGGCATGCAGAGATAATTGTGAAAGAGCTTGAGCTAGAGGGAGTAAAAGTGAGGACTGAAGTGCCAGGTGAGCGCATTCCAGTTGAAGAGGGAGATGAGGTGGAACTTTCGCCCAACATGACAAAGAACTATCAAGCGTTGACGGCCAGAGCGAATTACTTAGCTCAGGACAGGTCAGACATACAGTATTCTGTAAAGGAACTTGCTAGGACCATGTCAATGCCAACGATGAGTTCCTGGAAGGGTTTGGTCAAGTTAGGAAAGTATTTGAAGTACCACAGCAGAAGCAGCTATGTGTACCAATATCAGGAACAGCCCCGAGAATTAACGATTTGGACCGACACGGATTACGCAGGATGTAAGCGAACCAGGAAGTCTACGAGTGGAGGAGTAGTAATGTGGGGTAAACATCTTATAAAATCTTGGAGCACGACTCAAAGCGTAATCGCATTATCGTCAGGGGAAGCAGAATATTATGGGCTAGTGAAAGGAGGATCAGTGGGTCTAGGACTTCAGGCAGTACTGAGAGACTTTAACTTGGATGTTGACATCACCATGAAGAGTGACGGCACGGCTGCGATTGCCATTGCGAGCAGACGAGGCTTGGGGAAAGTGAGACATATTGAAGTGTGTCAACTGTGGTTACAGCAGAAAGTAAAGGAGGGAGTACTTCGTATTGTGAAAGTAGGGACACATGAAAACACAGCTGATGCATTAACCAAGTATGTCAGTCGTGAAAGCATGAGCGCACACCTACGAAACACGTATCAATGTGCATTAACAGGTAGGCATGGTCTTGCGCCAGCTACCGAATGTTGATATTCGCAGCTCATTTCTGTCAAGCAAGCTGCAGCGATCAAAAGTCTTCTCCACCCATTACCTCTTACTCTTGGGCGTGAACGAAGGCATGGCGGCTCCCCAGGTCAACCTCACCATCAACGGCTCCATGGTCGACCAGAGCCCGGCTGGGGATGGACCGGTTACGCGTGAGAACCTCCACCGCCGTGTTGACGACATCGTCCACGTTGCTCACGCGTTTACCGTGACCCTCACTAACATGGCGATTAACTTTCACGGAGCCCACGACAAACACGTTGACGAGGTGCAAAGGGCCGCTGATGACATGGCGAAGAGGATCGAGGACTTAACGCGGCAGAACGATGCGTTGATCCAGGCCAGTGGCGACGTCAACGAGAATCTCCAGAGGGCGCAAGCAGAGATTAACGCTCTGATGGCGACAATTACGGAGCTGAACATCCAGAATCGTGACTCGGGGGTTAACACGGCGGAGAATGCAACCAAGTACAGGCGCATCAACGACAACATTGGTTACCTCCTGAACACCGCCAAACGCCTTGCCGAGAACATCACGCCCCTGCAGGACTTCGAGGGCAAACGAGATGCGGCACTACGCATGTTGGTGGGAGTTACCGAGAGACTCGAAGGATTACAGAGGTTCTTGAATGACCCGATCAGTTCCTCGGTTACCATCATCCCGCAGGTGCCTCCGCCGTTGCCCGAGCTGCCCCCAACGGCAGTGGCCGCCAAGGCGCCTCCCACTGCAGTAAAGCACCCAAGGCCATGCATGAGCGTAAACGGGAACTGGAAGAGTTACTGCAGATCGGCATGAAGATGGATGAAGATCGTGCGCAGAGCAGTCAACGTGACGAAGCACCAAAAGGTCCTGCCCCGGTGGTGAACGCGAGGACGCCCAAGCCGCCTCCTCCAGGCCTTGGCGAGTCAAGTGCATCGAGCAGTGTTAGCGGCATGAATCCCCCGCCTCCGGTGCCCAAGAAGTTATCGACCCAGCACGTCCCTCCACCGCAGCCTCAAGCTGTTAACCGTACGGACGAGCAGCTTGCGGCATACTCGCGGAACGTTGCCAGGGCCGTGTACCGCCCACTGTACCACGTCAACGGCCACATGCCTATGGTGAACGACAGGTGCGAGGACCACGACGTCAACTACAAGGTGGAGCCCGACCCCAGGGAAGTAGTCGCGTTCGCGATGAAGACGCGCGACAACTGGCGCAGGATCGAAGGCAACTTCGTCGGGCATGTGGCGAAAGCGGGGTTAACGACTCCTGGTGGTCGATCTATTCAGGGCAACGCGGGGCGGGAGCTTAACGACTTCGATGAAGTGTTCGTCGACATTTACGGGCAGCACTCTTACGGCTTCCTCGGCTACTCAGTGTTGAAGGGCCCTTGCAGCTGGAGATCGCAGTTGACGGAGAAGGAGTTGGCCAAGCACGACGAGTGGGTTGACGCGGTCGGACACGTACAATCCCTGTTCGACGACGAGTACGTGCCGCCAATCCACGTTGACGATCTCCACCCAGTGTGGTTCGACGTTCACAGCTGCCCAGATACACAGGTTTACGTCAACAAAGTACCAGAAATGAATGAGAAGCAGCTTAACGGCCTTCTCCTAACGTGGGCAGGGATGCTGCCCCACGGCAACCCCACCGTGGTCTCCGCTAAGCACTTGGTGGAAGACACTTACGGGCCGCACGGTTACATCTCAACTGGGGTTACCGTGATCCGGTTTGCGACGCATGACCTTGCCAAGCTCTATTGCCGTTACATGAACGGGCTCCAGGTGTATTACCGCAACTACTTCATCGAGGACCTCGAGGTCAGGAGCGCCGAGGAGTTAAAGGGCAGCATCAACAAGCCTCCAGTTTACTGGCACCAGACCATCTTAGACGTCGCTCTTAACGATCAGGGGTCCATGAGGGCACTTTACCGTGACAACTGGCCTGCTGATCACATCACCGAGCGTAAAAGTGACCACCGCGAGAAGCTCTGCTGGTTTGGATGGTTGCCGTGCGACGACTTCCCCAACTGGCTTACCGACCCGGCCTGGACTGTGAACCCATTTACCGGAGTTGCAGTCGAAGAGCACCTCCGTAACAATCCAGGTGGTAAACCTCTGTTGAAGGCTCCCCACGCCAGTTACTGGAGGGCCATCGGCACTTACCACAACATTGTTGACGGGTCCATCAAGAGTTTTGACGAGGGGTGCTGGCTCGACGACGAGGAGCGCATTAACGCGTACCTGGACACCGACTATTACAGCCAGATGCAGGCCCTTAACAGGGTGTCGCCCTACACGGCGGCCAGCGTGGGGCATCGTGGTTTACCGAGGTCCAGGGGCGCACGTGCTCCGTCAGCGAGGCGCCCGCGCCGCTCGTAAACGGTGACAGGTGACTGGCATGCTTTTCTTTTACGCTCTCCCTCATCTCCCCTCTCAACCCGGCTTAACAATCGCGTTGCAGTGGCTTATTGAGCTGAATCTGTGTGCATGTGCATCTTTTATAGTTACCGCAGGTATTGGCGCATAAAAAGCGAAAGCAATCAACATCATATAAATGCTAGCCTGCCGTGTGAGCTTTGGATGCTACATTTAAACTCGTAACTGCTTGAATGTTTACTTGAGCTCATGTTGCATGTCTGAGAGACGTGGTGCTCGTGAACGTTGTTACGAGATATTTCGAATTCGGCAACATAACAATGTATGCGCAGCCTGTTGCTTGATTTAACCTGTCTTTGCGTTTATAGGCACCTCCCCGTCAGCCAATGCGGACTGGCGTCCGATGGGGGGGTGTTAACATGCAAGCGTTCAGGTGACAGGGGAGGAATAGCAACCCTATTGCCTTTGGCTCAAGTGTTTAACGGCTGAAGCTACTTAGACCTGCTTTGCCGTTCGGGAGTATAAAGGTGACCTATCATTATCATTGTTGCCAGGCTCCCGTGCAGAACCCTCCTCGGGGTTTTGCAGGAGGAAGAGGAGGAGGAGCAGGAGCAGGAGCAGGAGCAGGAGCAGGAGCAGGAGCAGGAGCAGGAGCAGGAGCCGGAGGAGGAATAATAATAGTATTGCTAGTAGTCATCATGATACGAGTGCGACCATAAGAATACTAATATTAACAACAATAACACTAACAATAATAATAGCATTCATAATACTAATACCAAAAATATAATAGTAATAATAATAACAAGAATACTAATCATACTCCCAATCAAACAGAAGAGGAGGAAGAGGAGGAGGAGGCGGCGGAGGAGGAGCACCACCATCTTCACCACCGTCCTGCTAGTCCCTGCCGTCTTGGGCTTCCTGACTTCCCTGTGCGCACTGCGTGCTGGACTGCCGGAGGGCCAGATCGGCCCGACAGCATGTCGAAGAAAAGGAGGAGGATTCGGTAGCAAATCATGGGAGCATTGTAGGTTCTAACGGTTCCATCTCTACAGTGCACTCGCGTGCGGTAGCGTCTGGCAATCGATGCGAAAGCGCCGATTCAGCGTCGATTAGGGGCGATCTAGCGTAGATGCAGCGTCGATCAGCGTCGGTCAGCGTCGGTCAGCGTCGATTCGCCAGAGCCAACAAGGTGGCATGGTAGGCTCTCATGAGTTGCCGCAGAAGGAGGGGGAGCACGCCCAAGAACGTCCCTCTCCCCACTCCTCTCCTGCTCCTCCTCGTCGTCCCCCCCTCCCCCCTGGAGGACGACGGCGACGTGAGCCGCTGCAGCTTCACGGAGACGAGGAGGGACGTCACGGTGCCCGTGGACCGGGCGGAGTCCGTGGCGCCCACCACAAAGCCAGGCGCCAGAGCCCGGCAGAAGCTCTGGGGTGGGTTTCTGCCCACGGTTTTGGGCAGCGATCTTCCATTCCAGCCCCTCGGGAGGCGGTGGGTTCCCCAGGCTCCCTCGCGCTGTGAAAGAATCACGACGGGAGGTTTTTCGCAGTTCTCGGCCTCGGGGGGCCCGCCCCCGGCCTCGGGACCGTCGGAAAATTATTCAGGACGAAAAACCAACCCCGGGGAAGGGGTCCAGACCTCTGGGGGTCGACGGTGCGAGCAAAATCACGACGTCCAGGGTCTGGGCCCAGGCTTCCAAATGGGGATCAGAGTAGCTGGGGTCAGATGATCACGCCGCATCGCCGAGGCATCAGCCATGCGGCCCGACGTGGAGCCCGATTCTCTCCACGCCGTCGTCGCTGATGTATCGCTGACGTCGTCGATGCACCGTTGATGCATCGGCGATGCATTGGCGATGCGGCGGGATCCTCCGACCCCATTTGCTCGCACCCCATCCGGGAGGCCTTCAGGGATGGGACCCACAAATATTCCTACGTACCCACAGCCTCCTTGGGTGACGGGTCAGTAGGGCGGGCAGGACCTTTCGCTTAAGACGTCCTCACCCTTTCTGATCCTGAAGCTTGAAGCATATAACAGCTTCACGGATAGAGGGCGGATGGTTTTCAAAATGTGGTTCACAATTTAGCGCCGCGCACATTCGTCGTAAAAGTTCGCCGGATAATCACGGATGCAGGGCGGGCCGTTTTCAGAATGTAGTTCTCGCCGCAGTGCCGCGCACACCCGTTTTGAAAGCTCCCCAGAGTTTCACGGGTGTAGGGTGGGCCGTTGTCAAGACGTGGTTCTCGTTTTGGCGTTGCGCACATTCGTTTTTAAAGTTGGCAGGAGCTTCACGGATGGATGGTGGTTCCGTTTCCAACTGTGGTTCTCGCTTTAGTGCCGCGCCCATTTGTCTTCGCATTCTACAGCATCTCCAAGGATACTTCTGCATGACGTCCCATAATTTGTGTTTTGGCGCGATTTCGGATCGTCAGGGCGCGACAGTCAGATTGATTCGTGGTGTTGATGTCCCAGAACTCGTTCTCTGGCACGGTTTAGGGTCGTCAGATCCAGGCAGTAATGTTGATTCGCGGTGTTGAAGTCTCAAAGAATGGTGCGTTTGTGCGGTTGAGAATTTTCAGACCGTTGTCTTCCAACGGGTGATCTCCCGCAGCGAAGATAAGCCTTCAAGGAGCTTATAAAGAAGGAAACTGGAGAGAGGATGTATTGCAGCATCGCTGATGGGTCTTAGGTTTATACTGGTCCTCCTCCTCCTCGTCTTCCTCCCCCTCCACCTCCTCCTCCTCCTCCTCCTCCTCCTCCTCCTCCTCCTCCTCCCCCTCCTCCTCCTCCTCCTCCTCCGCCTCCTCATCCCTCTCGGCGTCGACTACGCCGCCGCCGACGACGCAGAAGCAGTCAGCGGCGGCCGTCGCCGGCAGGCGAGACCGTGGCCCCGACCAGCCCGGCGAATGAGGCGGTCGCAGAGGAGCGCGAAGCGGCCGGCGGCGCCAAAGGCTCCCTCGCCGAGCGCCCCTGCGCCGCCCCCGTGCCAGCGGCGTCTCTCCGGCGGCTGCGGGCTGGCCTTGTGGCGTCGGCGGCGGCCTCGGCGGGAGTCGGCGGAGACGGCGACGGGGGGACTGGCGGCGGCGGCGGCCACGATGACGCCGAGATGGCCTCACGCGGCACCTCGGTCCTCGAGAGGGTGTCGTGGCTGCACTTGCTGCGGGCCTGCAACGGCTGTGCCTGGTCCAGGGCCGTTGGTCACTGAGGGGCGTCTTGCCAGAGGGGTGCCTGGCCACCCCCGAGAGGAGGGGGGAGCTGAGGAGGAGGACGGGCAGGGGAATGGAGGCGGAGTTTGATCCTCCCTGAACGATCCGCCTCCTCGCGTCCCTCTCGGCCCCTCTTTTCGATCCTGCCCCATCGACCTACCCCCCTGGCTGGTAAGAAGCCCCGCCCCCGGCCCAGAACCTGCTAACCCCCGGAGGCCTCCAAGGGCAACGACGAGGGCCAAGCTCGGCAGAAAACCCTGCGTTCCAGGACGGTCTCAGAGCGTTCCGGAACGCTCTGAGAAGGTCGCGGCGCCCGATATACATCTTCTAGGGCCACGAGATCGATCCCCGCTTTTCGTAGTGGCACTGTCTCTGGAGACGACAAGGAGCGCGCGCCGAAATTCATTCCAAACGAAATTGAGCTTTTCTTGATGGTTTCGGTGTGCAGGCGCGCCCTGTCGCGCGGTGGTTTCCATGCGCATCGTAGAGCGTGCTGATGCATCACGCGAGGAATTCGCCCTGCACGTTGCGAGGGGGAATTCGCTCTGCACGTTGCGTGCCAGTCACGCGTGGCTTGAGCTACTTCGCAGACGCTTTCTGGCGAGGTCCTTCGAGGGCCCTCTCAGGGCCCGCCGGGGCCTCCGAGTGCCCAGAGCTCCCGGCAGCCATGGTCGACAGTTGGCAACAGCAACGCCGCCGAAAGGGCCGCCGAAAGAGCCGTCGAAAGGGCCGCCGAAATTGCCGCCGAAAGGGCTGCCGAAAGAGCCGTCGACAGGGCCGCCGAAGTTGCCGCCGAAATTGCCACCGAAATTGCCGCCGAAATCGCCGCCGAAATTGCTGCCAAACCCGCCGCCGAAATTTCCGTCGAAATTCCGGACTGTGCCGCTAAAGAGAGGCCGAACTTGACCTTGGATGTGACTCGATGCCTGTGTCCGCGGCGTCATCGAGCTTGATAAATATAGTGATTTCGCTTGGGACAGGGCAATGACAATTTCGGCGGCTGAATTTCGGCGGCGATTTTGGCGGCTGATTTCGGCGGCGATTTTGGCGGAGTTCCCAAAAAATTCGGCGGCGATTTCGGCGGCGATTTCGGCGGCAATTTCGGCGGCAAGTTCGGCGGCAATTTCGGCGGCAATTTCGACGGCGATTTCGGCGGCGATTTCGGCGGCAATTTCGGCGGCGATTTCGCCGACGATCTCTGCGGCCCCTTCAGCGGCCCTCCTGGCGGCCCTTTCAAGGACATGTCGGCGGTTTTGCTTTTGACAGCTGTCGACGAATGCTGCTGGGAGCACGCAGCACTCGGCTGTGGCAAAGAGTCGATGTGCGGCGGCGCAGGCTGACGTGCCCTCAGCGCGATGATGAATGTAACACTTGTTCTCTTGTTGTCTTGGTGGTGGTGATTGCGACGGCCGCGGCGATGTTTGGTTCAAAATGAATGCTCGCCGGGGGGCGTTGCAGGCAGGCCTGCGCGCCCAGCTTTGCAGACTCTCAATTCTTTATATATCTATAAAAAACGCGCAACTCTTTTGGATTTCGGCGGCTATTTCGGGGGTCGTGGTGGCTCCAAAGCATGGTCCTCGGTGACGCTTTAACCTCAGCCGATGTAATCCTCGACCTGGCTTCGTCTTGCACTCTATCCCCCCCTCGATCCTCGTTTTCGAGCCCCCCCTCGGGGGGGGCACTCCCGTTACGTCGGGTCTGTCCCTCTGCAGGAGGAGTATTCAAAATAGTCCAAAGGTAGTATGGGGACGATGCTTCTGGCATTTTCTGTCTATGTATGAGCATCCTTAGGGGGATCTTAATTCTTCGTCCAGAGCCCGCCTGTAGGGGCACGCGCCCGACCTGACACTCCCGGCCCGGCGCCCGAGGCGCGAAGGCTGCGAAGAGCCGCAAGGCGACGCTGACCATGGAGGCCCTCAAGCAGCACACCGAGGCCCTGGCCAAGGCCCCCGCGCGCCCGCTAGAGGGGCGGGGCAGGCGAGCGGGGGGGGGGAACAGGAAACAGCCTCGAGATCCTGGCGCCTCAATCTCTTCGAGCCGGGCGTTTCTCGTCAGGTTTCGGGCCCTGGGGCCCTCAAAGAGCGATCTGGCTGGAAAACTGGCGCAGGGAGTTGCGGTCTATGGCTCCGGTCGTGGTTCTTATCGAGGTCTCAATTTTGTCGCGCCGTCGGATCTCAGGGAGGGAGGGTGACGACGGAGAGAGGGGGGGAGGAGCGCGACGAGGGCTCTCTGGAGAGGGCGAGCGAGAGGGACCTCGCCGCCCACACCACCACCACCACCACCACCACCACCACCACCACCACCACCACCACCACCACCACCACCACCACCACCACCACCACCACCACCACACCCGCGCACTCCCCCCCCATCCCGTCCTGGGAACTGGGCCGGGCGAGCGGGCGGACAGGGGACGGCCGGGTGTTGCCAGACGTCGGGTGTTGCTAGAAGTGCCCCTGGCCCAAGGTGCCCCCCTGCTTTTCGCTCCCCTCTGCAGCCCCATGGGGCCCTCTGGGCCTCGTGAGGATTGCCCTAGAGACCGTTTCGGGCCACCCCGAGAATCCTGCGGGTACCTTGGGCCAGGGGTACTTCTAGCAACCCTCGAAGATGTGCCCCTGGCCCGACGTGCCCCCCAGGATTTCCAGGGGTACTTCTAGCAACGCTCGAAGATGTGCCCCTGGCCCGACGTGCCCCCCGGATTTCCAGGGAGGCCCCCGCGGCCTCCAGGGCACGCCTCACGAGGCCTCGAGGGCCCCGGGGGGCTTCCAAATGGAGCGAAATGCTGAGGGCACCGCTGGCCAGGGGCACCTCGGGCCCAAGGGGGCACCTTTCGCAGTCCCCCGGGGCGGGGAGAGGGCACGACGCTTGAAGCCTGCATTCTAAGATTCGGGCAAGTTTACTTGCATGGCGCTCGCCCCCCCCTCCCCCCCTGCCCCCATCGGCCCTCTTTCAAACGAATGCTGGCGTGGCGGGTGCCTGTCGACTTGCGTGGTTTCCGCACGTGCGAGTCGTTTGCGGCTTGCTTCAGATCCGCCCCCCCCCCCCTTGTCCATGCGAGTAACCTTGCCGGAGCCTAGTCTCCAACAAAGAAAACAAACAGGCTCCTGCTGCGCGGAGCTCGTCTCGGCCCCGCAGCCGGGCGCCCCGGAAATCGCTGTGCGCTGGAGCCGCCCGGCGCGGGGAAGCGCCAGGGGGGGTGCGGCTGCGGTCGGGTCGGGGCACGAGATCGAGGTCGGCTCAGGGAGGGTGCCCTAATGTTTTTCTCTCTTTTTTTTTGTGTGTGTGTGTGTGTCTGTGTCTGTGTCTGTGTCTGTGTCTGTGTCTGTGTCTGTGTCTGTGTCTGTGTCTGTGTCTGTGTCTGTGTCTGTGATGTTCCCCAAGCAGAGCTTGCCTCTGTAGGGGTCCGAGCGGATTCACATGGCTAGGTGAGGCTTGGCGCCGATTTCGGCGGCACGCCCGGGTGTCCAGGTGCCCCGGTGCCCGGTGGCCCTATAGCCTTGTCGCACGCCCTGGCGCCCGCGGGCTCCGGAAGGTGCGCTGCCCGCCCCCCTCGTTCGCCAGACCTCGGCAGGGCCGTCGGCGGCCTGGGGCGGCTTTCCTCGGGGAGGCGACGGCGGCACACGGCGGAAACCCCATGCCGAGAGGCACCCTGCTTGCCTCCTGGGTGCCCTGGGTCTCTGGGGCTCCGCTGGTCCTGCGATGGAAAGAGTGACGTCCCCACACCAGAAAACGGTGAAGGTCCTGGGGTTCCATGGTTGGGTCTCTCGTGGGAGGTTTCTGGTGGTGGAGCTCCTACTCTATGTAGGCATGCAGGCACAAACTTTCGGAGGTCCTCGCGGATTTCCTGGGCCCCCCTGGCGGCGCCTCCGGCGCCGCCCTGGCCGCGCTCCGCGCGCCAGGGACGGTTGACGGCCATGATCGGCCCTCTCCCCCCCCCCCCCGGGATTACGTGACGCTGTCTTGCCTACGCGTGCAAAGATGTCCTTCGGATTCTTCGAGGATTGCCTAAGATTTCCAGCGGCCCCCCGCCGTGCGTAATTACGTGATCGGGGGGAACGAACTCCCCCCCCCCCCAGACCAGACCCCGATCACGCCCGGTACCGCGAACAATGAAAACAAGCTTCAGCGCCGATCCAAGAATCCGCGCGGAGCTCCGACAGCTTATGTTTATATGCCGATGTCTCTCGAGCGCCGAAAGCTACGTAGTGCAAGCTGTGTAATGTGCCATATGCGGCGTAAGCTGCGTAGTGCAAGCTGCATGGTGCAAGTTGTGCTGCGCAACGTGCGTGGCGCAAACTGTGTGGTGCAAGCTTTCTGGTGTGAGCACTGTGGTGCACAGCGCGCACTGCAAGCTGAGTGGCGCAAGCTCTGCGAACAAAAAGCTAGAGTTAAGTCGGGCCAGGTGCCCGCGAGCCCCGCGCCGACCGCCGGCTCGGAGAGATCGGCCAAATGCTGCAATGGGTGCCGCTTGGTGCCTGCTCGCAGCGCAGCGGGCCCCAGGTGCTTGGCATCGCTCGGACGTGTGCGTTTTTTCTTCGGCGAGGACCATCGAGGAGCATCCTTGATCATTTCGCGAAAAAACCACGCACGAAACCGAACAAAACATAGGAAATGGACGTCCGAGCGATGGCCAGGGTGTGCGCGCTCAGCCACCGTCTCCGGTTCGCCCGCCCCTTCGGCTTCCCAGCGGCCCCCCTCACCAGGCCCACTGATGCTGCTCGACCCTGCCCTCCCCTGGCCCGATGGTCGGTGCTCTCATTCCTGGGCCGCCAGATACCTGCTTCGTCGACGAGCTGCACGCCCTCACACTTGCCGTGCCGTTGCCCTCCACCTCCCACCGCGGACACCGGGCCCTCCCGGGCGCGGCACGGCTCCGCAGCCGGTGGGTGCCAACGTCGAGCCGCCGCCGTCCAGCGCGGCGCTCGTGGCGGGCATGCGTGGCGGCTCGCTGGCGCCCGAGGCCTCGCCCTTCCCGGGCCGGCCGTGCGCCAGGCGCCCCCCCGGCGAGGGGCACGCGCGCGCCCCCGCGGCCGTGCTCCCGCCGCAGCCGCCGCCGGGAGCTCTGCCGCCGCCACCGGCCGACCCCCTACAGGGGCCTCCCCTTGACGTCCGCGGCCGCGGAGCGCCTCTCCCTCGGGGTGCCGCCGCTCGGCGCCTCAGAGATGCGGTGTCGTTTAGCCGGTCCCCATCCCCATCTCCATCCCTTTCGAGACCCCCACCAAATTACCACCCCAGTTGGGGATAGACCCCTTGAAGCCCGAAGGGAACGACCTGTATCCCCACCTATAGGGGGGTAAATCGGCCAGCGGGGCCCAGGCCACGCCGCTGGGATGGGGATCGGTTAAACAATATTCGCAGATCCACAGTGATTCGAAGAACGGAGCTCCGCGCGGACTTCTTGGAGCGGCGCCGGAGGCGCCGCCCTGGGGCTCGACCCCGGCGCAGACCCAGGAGATCTCCGTGCGGATCTCCGACAGAGGATGTGTATGCAGTTGTTCGCTTTCGGAGAGGGGGGGGGAGGGCACCACTGCCCGAGGGAGCAAGACGCACCGCGCCGCCGTGCGCACGCGCTGCGAGCGTGCGTGCGCCGCCAGCCACACGGCAGGCAAGCAACGCGGCGGTGCCGTCCGTCTCCCCGCGGGGGGGGGGAGGGCAGCGGCGAGGCGCGCGCCGCGGGAGGCGTGGGCCGCCAAGCGAGGACCAGCGGGGCAAGGTCAGAAGCCGAGTCAGGACGAAGAGCTGGTCCATGGGGGAAGGCCCTGGGTCCAGGGCCTTCCTCCATGGATCAGGGCCTTAGGTGGGGATGCATCGACCTCCAAGTGCCCACTGATCGCCGATAGGGGCCCGATACCCCCACCCCGCCCAGGAGCGTGCGGATTGACTATCGGGGGCCTATCGCTGATCCATCGGCGATGTATCGCCGATTGCAGGCCGATGTCTCCCCCCCCCTATGCCTATCCCCCCCGTGCTCGTTGCCCCTTCAATGGGCCAGCTCTTCATCCTGGACCCGCCTCTGCACCTCGGGGCCCGTTTCCGCCGCACCCGTTCCTGCACCTCCTCCTCTCCCCACGAAGCCGCACGCGAGGTTGCAGGCGCGGAGCGGGGCGCGCCCCGCGCCCCGCGCCACGGGAGGCACGGGCAGACTCGCGGACCTCCAGCTTGCCTCGGGGGCTGGCGCCGCGCATGCTGGTGCCGACCCCTCCTTCTCGCCGCCCTGCGAGACTGGCTCCGATGCAGAAAGCGGGTCCCGAGGCGAAGCTCACAGAAGCAGGAGGTCTTTGCGAATGACGCGCTCCGGACTCCTCCAAGGTTTCCAGGATGATGCCAGATCTCCTGCTGTTCCGCACGGGCTGCAGAAACGAGGGCCGCTGGGTCTTCTGGAAGCCCCGACACGGAGTTACCTGGATCCAATGTTTGTTCATGATGCCATCCCAGCCCTCGCCCTCCACCTTCCGCACCTTCCGCGCGGCAGGTTCCACGCCACGGCGGCCGCCGCCGCGGCCGCCATTGCGGCTTCCGCCGAGGCCGCAGCAGCGGTTTCGGCGGCGGCGGCGTCCGCCGCGGCGCGGCACCTGCCGCGCGGAAGGTGCGGAAGGTGGAGGGCGAGGGCTGGGATGGCATCATGAACAAACATTGGATCCAGGTAGCTCCGTGTCGGGGCTTCCAGAAGACCCAGCGGCCCTCGTTTCTGCAGCCCGTGTGGAACAGCAGGTCTGAGGTCTCTAGCAGCAGGTCCTGGCCCTGAGGTAGTCCTAGCAGCAGGGAGTCCCAGCAGCAGGTCCTGAGGTCTCTCGCCGTCTTGGGCGCCCCCGGGCCCTCCACGGGCCCCGGGACGGTCAGAGAACGGCTCTGGACGAGTGGACGGCCCACGAGGGCAGGCCCCGGGTTCGGGGCCAGTGTCCCTCAGGGCTCCTTTGTACGCTAAGCTTAGGTCGGGCCTGTCCCCCTATAGGGGGATTTTGGACGAAAAATGACACAGATTCCAAACATATTCCAAAGATGCCCAAACATAGCCAAAACATAGTCCCCAGACTATTTTGTTCAACTATTTTGGAATATTCCCCCTGTAGAGGGACGGGCCCGACTTGACGCTAAGCCTGGGGGTCCGGAGGCCAGCGCACCCCGCACCCTCCCCGGCGCCCCTCCGCCACAGCACGCCGTCGTGCTGGCGCGGAGGGCCCGCCCCGATGCGCTCGTCGTGGGCGCCAGTTCGCTCCGCGAGGGCGTTCCGACTTGCTCTTCGGCACCCAGGCTGTGTCCTCGTCCACTTCGGACTGCGTTCGATCGAGGCTCGATCGATCGTGCCTCGATCCGATCGAGATTCGATCGATCGAAACTCAAGATCGAACTCTATGGATCGAATCTCAATCGATGGAGTCTCGATCGATCGAGGCTCGATCAATCGCGTTCTCGCATTGGCCTGCCCTGCCGCGGGACTGGGGCTTCATGAAACTCGTTGGCTCGGAGTCCTCCTCCCCGCCAGCTCGGTCCACAGCCACGTGCTGCAACAACTAATATGATTAATCCCCCTCCTCTCCGACCCTCCTCCCCGTTCCCCCCTGCTGCTGTTTCTCGTGCTCGCCTTGGCCTCTCATTATTCCTCCCTCTTCTCCTCCGTTCTCTTCTTCCTCCCGCCCATTAGGTTGGCTTGCTGTTTCGTATTTCCTAAGTGCAATATCCTGTCCTCCTCCTCCTTCTCCTCCTTCTCCTCCTTCTCCTCCTCCTCCTTCTCCTCCTCCTCCTCCTCTTCCTCCTCCTCCTCCTCCTCTTTCCTCCTCCTCAACCTCTTCATCCTCATAATCTTTCCCTGCCTTGCCTCCACTCTTCCTCCTGATACTTCCTGCTCCTGCTTTCTCCTCCCCCCCTTTGTTCCTTCTCCTCCCCCTCCTCGCCTCCTGCTCCTGCTTCTGCTTTACCCTCCCTCCTCCTGCTTCTGCTTCATCCTCCCCTCCTCCGCCGCGCCCTTCCTCCTCCGCCCGCCCTCCCACCCTTCCTGCCCCCCCCACCCTACTTCTCGGCCTTGCCGCCGCTCTGCCCGGGCTTCTCCTGCACTTCCCCTGACTTCTGGCCAGCCGACGACGACCCGCCGACGCCCGCCGACGACGACGACACCTATGCCGACGCCGAGGCCGACGCAGACGCCAACGCCAACGCCGACGCAGACGCCGACGCCCACGCCCACGCCCACGCCCACGCCGACGCACGCCGACGACGACGACGACGACGACGGCGGCGACGACGACGACGACGACGACGACGCCCACGCCCACGCCGACGCACGCCGACGACGACGACGACGACGACGACGACGAGGAGGAGGACGTCGGTGGCGGCGGCGGCGGCGGCTGCGGCGGCGGCGGCGACGTGGCGACACTGACGACGACCAGCCGTCCCCCTGCGTGGCGGCAAGGCCGAGGCGGAGGCCATGCGCGGCACTGTCGGCACGGCGAAGCGGGGGCGCCCCCCCTGAGCAGGAGGAGGGGGAGGAGGAGGAGGAGGAGGAGGAGGAGGAGGAGGAGGAGGAGGAGGAGGAGGAGGAGGAGGAGGAGGGGGAGGAGGAGGAGGACGGGACGAGGACGGGGCGAGGATGGGATGGTGGGAGCAGCTGGTAGGCGTTTCTTCAGTCTGGGTGTCGACATTTGGCCGAAGGGTGGGGGAGGGGGGGTCTGTGTCTGGGCTGGTGTTTAGTCGATCTGCTTCTACCAGCCGCCCAGAGCAGCCGAGATCTGGTCTTTGGGGGGGGGGGGCGGGGCCGGGGCGGCGGGGGCCCGCGCCGATCGGCGAAAGAATGAGTGAAAACGGCGACCCGGGGGAGGAGATCTGTTTCGAAAAGCGTCATGCAGTCAGGGATGTTAGATCTGCGTTTCGGGCCGCCGGTTCTGGCCCACCGCGCCTCTGGCGCTGAGCACGTCGCAGTCCTCGAGCCCCAGCCAGTCTGCGAAGAACGCCGGGCCTGAAAGAGATGCGGCGGGGGGGGGGAAGAGATCGGCTAAGGTCGCAGGTTTCGCCCCCGCACCAGATCCCGACCCCCGAGCCCAGATATCCGACGACATGATGTCTGTTCACTGCGCGGCCCCATAGATCCCGACCCGCATCCCCCCGGATCACATGGCGGGTTCCAGAAAGGTCCTCGCTATCGAGGGTCAAAGGAGTTGGTGTCTCGTCCCTGGCGGAAGGCAGCGGAAGGTCGGCGGAAGCCTGCGGAAGCAGAACGATGACGGCTTCGCCGGCGGATGCCAGCGGAAGGCTGGCGGAGGTAAGAATGAGTCCCCCAAGAGACAGCCATTCTGTGAGGTTCAGGGCTTCCCGGGTCGGCCACAGCATTGGAGAAGCAGGGAGGTCCCCTGGCGGCCCCCCCGGAGGCCCCCTGGAGGCAGAAGGGGCACCTCCGCGCGGGCCGCCCACCCCCAGGGCGGCCGGGCGGGCCGTTTGGTCAGGTACTCCATGAGCGTCCCCGGGAAGAGCAAGGTGGGCGGCAGGAGCCGCCGGCAGCCCGGGGGGGGGGGAGATGTGTTGGTGTTGGTGGTGGTGTGTATATATGAGTGCGTGTGTGTCTGTGTGTCGAAGGGAGTCGTGCAGGGCTTCTCTCTCTCTCTCTCTCTCTCTTTTGCGCTTTTGCTTGTTGGCGCGGCATGGTCGTGCATGCCACCTTTTTCTGGATTGGGTGCGCAGCGCCATCCACATCGGCAGCGTCCGGCGGTAATTCTCATAAGCGGCCTCGATAACAGATAACCCATCGTTGTGTTGAAGCAACCGGCCAGTAAAACAACAATAAATATTTGTGTCAAGAAAAAGCTGCACACACGTGATTTCACAGAGGTCTGGGCGGATTTCTTGGATGGGCGCTGGGCCCCACTTCCGGCGCCTCTGGCGCCGCCCCTTGCGCGCTCCGCGGGCCAGGTAGCGGGTTCACGCGCCGGGTCAGAAATCCGCGCGGACCTCCGAGAAGTTATGTGTATGCAGTTACTGCTTGCTTGCCCTTAGGGGTTCTCACTCTTCCAAGGAACTGGCCCTGAGTGTCGGTCTGGCGGCTCCGTGCTCGCCGTCGCCGCTCCGGCGCCGCCTCGTTGCCGCCCATCGTCTGGGCCTGATTGCCAGTCTGGGTACTTCTGTTGTCGCCGTTGCCGCCCCGTGACTGCCTCGTCGCGGCCCGTCGTCTGGGCCTGGCTGGCGGCCTGGACGGCTCTGTGCTCGCCGTCGCCGCCCCGTCGCCTCACACCATGGACTCAAGGGATCGCTTTACAGTGAAATGTATAATTAAACAGTGGATTAACACGACGCTGTTGACACTACGTAACCACGAGTGGATTAACACTACGCTGAGCGCTGTTGAAACTACGCAGTTGACACTACGTAACCCCGAGTGAATTAACACTACGCTGTTGGCACAACGCTGTTGACACAACCCTGTTGACACTACCTAGCCCCGATTGGTTAACGGCGGCGACGTCACGACGTCGTCGACTCGGCGACCACCACCGCGGCGGCGGCGACCGCGCCGCAGAGGGGCGGCAGCGGCGGCGACCACCACGGCGGCGACGTCACGACGGCGGCGAGCCCCACCGCGGCGGCGGAGGCCACGCCGCCGAGGGGGCGCCGCGGCGGCCCCCGCAGGAGCGCCACCTTCCACGGCCGCAGCGCCGCGCGGAGCGTCGCCGCCAGCGGCGTCGACACGGCGCCCGCCCCTCCGCGGCTGGCGCCCAGGCCTTCGGCGGCCCTCGGCGGCCCTCGGCGGCCCTCGGCGGCCGTCGGCGGCCTGCGGAGGCCTGGGCACTGGCAGGGAGCGCCGTGGTGGTCTGTTGTTGTCGAGGAGGCCGACCAAGGGAGAGGACGACAGGGGGGAGGAGGAGGAGGAGGAGGAGGAGGAGGAGGAGGAGGAGGAGGAGGAGGAGGAGGAAAGGACGAGGAGGTGGAGGTACGGTGAGGGGTGATAGTGAAGCCCTCCCGTTGCACACCCCTGCAGCTTCCCTCCTGCAGTACGGGATTGGGCGTGCTGTTTTTCGTCCTCGCAGCAGTAAAGACGGGGTAGTCAGTCTCACACCCTGCTCCCCACGAGTTTCACGAGAGGCAGCTGGTCGCGCAAGCGCAGATAGGAGGGGAGGACCAAAGTAACCCCAAGATGTGTCCACGAGTCTGCAATACACCATTCCGTCCCAAGCCCCCTCCTCATCAGTCGCTAGATTGGCATGTGCCTCCTCAAAAGGTGAGTTCCCGTGAAGCCCGCAGTTCGGGCGATATTGCCAAAGAGGAGGAGGAGGAGGAGGAGGAGGAGGAGGAGGAGGAGGAGGAGGAGGAGGAGGAGGGGAGGAGGAGGAGGAGTGAGGAGGAGGCGGAGGAGGAGGAGGAGGAGGAGGAGGAGGAGGAGGAGGAGGAGGAGGGAGGAGGAGGGAGGAGGAAGGAGGAGGAGGAGAGGAGGAGGAGAGGAGGAGGAGGAGGAGGAGAGGAGGAGGAGGAGGAGGAGGAGGAGGAGGAGGAGGAGAGGACGGGAGGAGGAGGAGGAGGAGGAGGAGAGGAGGAGGAGAGAGGAGGGAGGAGGAGGAGGGAGGAGGAGGGATGAGGGAGGAGGGGAGGAGGACAGGAACAGGAGCAGGAGCAGGAGCAGACAGGAGCAGGGGAGCAGAAGGAGGAGGAAGGAGGAGGAGGAGGAGGAGGAGGGAGGAGGAGAGAAGAGGAGAGAGGAGAAGGACGAATCTCAAGAGTAGTAAGGGATGAGGAGGATGGCGGCGGGCGGGGAGGAGGGGAGGAGGAGGAGGAGGAGGAGGGGAGGAGGAGGAGGAGGAGGGAGCGGGGAGGAGGGAGTAGGAGGAGCAGGAGGAGGGGGAGGCGGGACGGGGGAGGAGGAGGAGGAGGAGGAGGAGGAGGTGGAGGAGAGGAGGAGGAGGAGGAGGAGGAGGAGGAGGGGGAGGAGGAGGAGGAGGAGGAGGAGGAGGAGGAGGAGGAGGAGGAGGAGGAGGAGGAGGAATAGGAGGAGGAGGGCAGAGCTAACCGTGGCCGCTGCCGCGTGCCAGAGAAAGAACCGTTGGGGTGGCGCGGCCGCGGCTGCCTGCTCGGCCCCGCTGGGCGACAGCCATCTGCACCCAGGTGGGCGGAGTGGTGGTACGCCACGGGAGGCTGGAGGATTTCGTAGCAGGCCTCGTGATGCGGTGGATCCACCGCGACCCTTTGCAGGAACAAAGGGTGCCCACGCGGGACCGCCAGCGCGAGGGGCGGCCAGCGGACCAGCCGGGCGCCGACCTCCAGGAGCGCGCTATCCTCGACATCGAATAATTCGAGGGAGCGGGGCGGCCCTGGCTCGATGTGACCGTGCGGCGCCCGGCGGCGGAGCACGTCGTGGGCTGGCCCGCCCGCAGGCTTGGCGAGGCAGCGCGTGCAGCCGAGCGCGAGAAGCACGCGCGCTCCCCTGGCGGCCGCCTCACACCCTTCGTGGTGGAAGCGCCAGGCCGCCTCGGGAGTGAGGCCCGCCAGTGGTTGGTCCGCCAGGCCAAGACGTGCCCTGACGACCAGCAGAACGCGGAGCTCATCCGCGCTTGCACGGTGGTCAGCTGCGTCGTCCAGACGCAGCTGGCCCTCCAACGCCGCAGAGCCGCCAGCCTACGCTAAGCTCGCGGCCGTCCCCCTCTTCCTTTTCCTTTTTTTCCCTTGTTCCCCACCGCCCAGTTCAGGCGGCCAGTGCTCATCTGCAGCGTTTTGTGAATCAGCTCCCTCTCATCTCCCTCTCCTTCCCGCTCCTTGCCTTTGGCGGGCGCGCGCGCGCCTATGGGGGGGCGCGCGTGGCGCGCGCCCCTCCGCCGCGCGCTCGTTTCCTCCATCGTCGGTTCCTACCTCCTCCGTCCTCCCTCCTCCCTCTCCGCCTACTCCCCCTCCCCCTCCCCCTCCCCCTCCCCCTCCTCCTCCTCCTCCTCCTCCCCTCCTCCCTCCTCCTCCTCCTCCTCCTCCTCCTCCCTCCTCCTCCTCCTCCTCCTCCTCCTCCTCCTCCTCCTCCTCCTCCTCCTCCTCTTCCTCCTCCTCCTCCTGCTCCTCCTCCTCCTCCTCCTCCTCCTCCTCTTCCTCCTTCTCCTCCTCCTCCTTCTCCTCCTCCTCCTCCTCCTCCTCCTCCTCCACCTCTTTCCCCTCCTTCTCTTCCTCTTCCTTCTCCTTCTCCTCCTCCTCCTCCTCCTCCTCCTCCTCCTCCTCCTCCTTCTCCTCCTCCTCCCCCCCTCCCTCCTCTTCCTCCTCCTCCTCCTCCTTCTCCTCCTCCTCCTCCTCGTCCTCCTCCTCCTCCTCCTCCTCCTCCTCCTCCTCTTCCTCCTCCCCCTCCGCAAGGGCGTCTTCTCAGACGTGCAGTTCTCTCACTTCCGTCACTAGTACTTTGCATGTTGGGAAAGGGGGGCCCTGTCGCGCCCCTTTGTTTGCCGCCTACGCAAAGCCGCGCCGAGGGGCGACAGAAACGGTGATGGCCCCCCTTCGCCCCGCCGCGTTTGGCGTGCAGATGCGCCCCTGAAACTCGTAGGCATTTCCCTTGCGGCGCGTTGTGGACTTCTCGCGTACACCTTGCCCCAGTGGACACCCACCACCACGCGAGGTGGGCGCTGGGGACGAGGGTCAACGGGAGGAGGAGGAGGAGGAGGAGGAGGAGGAGGAGGAGGAGGAGGAGGAGGAGGAGGAGGAGGAGGAGGAGGAGAAGGAGAAGGAGGAGGAGGAGGAGGAGGAGGAGGAGGAGGAGGAGGAGGAGGGAGGAGGTTCCAGCTGTAAGCGATGCGACTGGGCGGGGCCCTGCAGATTCAGGATGTGCCCAGCGACAGCCCCGCCCTGAGAAGGAACCGCCTTCCATATCGGCGCATTTGCTGCGCATTCGTACGCAGATGTCTGGTTGTCAGTTCGAGCGAAGCCTCGAGCGAGAGCCCTGCTTGAGAAGGAACCACCAACAGTCCGTATATGTGGGGCGTTCCAGAAGAGGCTTTGCCTTGCCTTCCAGGATAGAAGGAGTTGCCGTCTCTTCCGCGGCGGAAGGCGACAGAAGGGCGGCGGAAGGCCGGCGGCAGTAAAACGAGGCCGCTTCCGCCGGCGGAAGCCAACGGAGGCCGGCGGAAGATTGGCGGAAGGCGGCGGGAATAAAAGATGCGCCCCCAAGACATGAAAACGTTTTTGGGTTCAGGGTTTCCAGAATCCGCCACATGGCGCACGCTTTGGCATTTGTTGTAGCATACGTCGAGGAAGCTTCGAGCATGCAAAGACTCCTCCTCAATAGGTTTTGCCTCTTGCGGCCTTCTTGGGAGTGCTCTTGGAGGCTTCTTGAGGCGTTTTGGAATAATATTTAGGGGTTTAACGGCTTCTTTGGGGTCGTTGTGGACCGTCTTGGGGCTCTCGGGCCGTTTCGGGGGCGCGCCGGAACGCCGGGAGCCTTCTGGGGCTGTCTTCGGACTCTCATAGAGTTTTCCCGGGTCGTCTGGCGGGTTGCCAGACAGGCCCAGAGTGGGCCAAATTCGTTAGGTGGGGGGGGGGGGACGGCGTTTTTTCCGGGATCCCCAGCGCTATCACAATATATGAATAGGAATAAAACACTCGCTCTCCATCCGTGAAGCCCTTACAGCATTTTAGTACGAATGCGCGTGTCGCTACGGCGAGAGCCCCCTTTTTGAAAAGGGCCCGTCCTCCATTCGTGAAGTTGCTGCAATTTTCAAGATTTCGGGACATACATGGTGATGGGGCCTCTGGCGCAACGCCCCGTCCGCCCCAACGACGCGTCTCGGGATGCGACAGGGCGGAGTTCTGTATAAGGGAGAGGGATGGAGGAGGGACAGGATAAGGAGGAAGAGGAAAAGGAGGACGAGGACGAGGAGGAGGACGAGGAGGAGGAAGAGGGCGAGGGCGCGGGGCAGGGAAAGACCGAAGAGGGGCGAGAAGGGGTTTGAGGAGGATGTGAGGGCTAGCGGAGGGATGAGGAGGAGGAGGAGGAGGAGGAGGGAGCAGGAGGAGGAGGAGGAGGAGGAGGGAGCAAGAGGAAACGGAGGGAGGTGGAGGGAGACTGGACGAGGAAGCAGGAGGAGGACGAGGGTCCAACGCCCCGGGCGGCCCAGGTTGCCACCTTCCGCACGCACAAGACCACCAGGGAGTTGCTGGCGGCCGCCCCCAGCCCCCGCGCCGGTAGCCCACTCTCGCGCGCCCGCCGCCCTCCCGCTCCCATGGCCCAGGCTGGCTTCGCCCGCGCTGGGTTCGCCCGTCGTGGATCGAGGAGGAGGGGGGGGAGGAGGCAGGAGGAGGAGGAGGAGGAGGAGGAGGAGGAGGAGGAGGAGGAGGAGGAAAAGGGAGGAGGGAGGAGGGAGGAGAGGAGGAGGAGGAGGAGGAGGAGGAGCAGGCGGAAAAGGAAAGGAGGAGGAGCAGGCGGAAAAAGGAAAGGAGGAGGAGGAGGAGGAGGAGGAGGAGGAGAAGGAGGAGGAGGAGCAGGAGCAGGAGCAGGAGCGGGAGGAGGAGAAGGAGGAGGGGGCGTCCCGGATCTCGGACGGCACGGCTTCTCTCAACCTGGGCGTCGTCCCTCGCACTCGACGCCGGGGGCCCTCTGCAGAGCCCGCCCTTTCGCAGCGCGACGGGGCCTCTCCGCCGCCCCGCGCGGGCCACACGGGCTCCCCTCGCGGCCCGCGCGAGCCCGCGGAGCCAAAGGGCGGCGCGTCGGGCCGAGGTCGGGCGTGTCGGACGGGGGGGGGGGCGGCGAGAAGTGGCGCGGGGGCGAGGGTCGAAGGCCCTCTCGGGCCCCGCAGGGAGCACGACGGGAGGTCCCCGGGGGGAGGGGGGCGAGACCTCCGGGGCGTCGGGGAGAGCCTGCTGCGCATGGAGTGAACTCGGCGGAAGGTGAAGTGCGGGATCCGTGAGTGGATCAGCCTGGGCAGTCTGGTGATCAGAGGCTCTGGTGCCTCTATCTGGTTGTGGGGTTGCAGCAGGGGGGCCCTACAGAGGCCCTTATTACCGAAGGGGCCCCCCCTGGGGGGCCCGAAGGAGCACGACCCCCCCCCACCCACTCGTGACTCTCCAACCGGCCACACCTGCCGGACGGCAGGTGGCCGATTTGGGCATCTTCTCGAGGGGCAAGGGACTGCGCAAACAGAAACTTTCGGAGCGCCGCGCGGATTCCTTGGATCGGCGCTGGACCTCCCTCCGCGAGGAGCTCTGGAAGTTTGTGCATATATGCAGTCGGAATGGATCGTCGGCGTCCCTCCTCTTCATCCGTCTTCTCCTCCTCCTCCTCCTCCTCCTCCTCCTCTTCCTCCTCCTCCTCGAGAAATCATTATCCTCTGGTCGGAAGGAGTAGGCGGTTGAGCGTTATGGGTGGGGCCCCGGAGGAGCACGAACTCCCCACCCCAAACCACCCCCGACGCCGTGTTTGTTTGTTTTATTACGTGGCCCCCAGAAGTCTGGACCCCTTCCCAGGATCGAAGAAGAACAAATGCCATTATCCCGGCAAAGCAACCTAACAGCGATGTGTATAAGCATATCTGGAAGCATTCCCCTTAAGATTGAGTTGTATAATTCTGCTGTTTTCGCAGTCGCAGTCGCACTCGCAATGACAGTCACAGTGGCAACGGCCTTAGGATCCACTGGGATCCTAAGGATTCCTAGGGATTCCTAAGGCATCCTTAGGCATCCTCAGGAATCCATAAGAATCCTTAGGAAACCTCAGGAATCCTTAGGAATCCTGACTCCGAAGGATTCCCAGGGAATCCTAAGGATTCCTAGGGATTCCTGAGGATGCTTAACTATTCCTAGGGATTCCTAGGGATTCCTAAGGATTCCTATGGATTCCTACGGATGCCTCAGCCTGCCTCAGTTTCAGCCTCAGCCTCAGCCTGCCTCGGCTTGCCTCAGCCTCAGCCTCAGCTTGCCTCGGCCTTCAGCCTGCGTCAGCCTCAGCCTCAGCCTGCCTCAGCCTCAGCCTGCCTCAGCCTCAGCCTCAGCCTCAGCCTCAGCCTGCCTCGGCTTGCCTCAGCCTCAGCCTCAGCCTGCCTCGGCCTCAGCCTGCCTCGGCCTCAGCCTGCCTCAGCCTCCCCTCCTCCCCCCCCCCTTCCCCCCCCCCATTGAGCTTCACCTTGTCTCAGCTTCGGCCTGCCTCGGCCTCATCCTCAGCCTCAGCCTCAGTCTCAGCCTCAGCCTGTCTCGGCCTGAGCCTGCCTCGGCCTCAGCCTCAGCCTGCCTCAGCCTCAGCCTGCCTGCCTCAGCCTCAGCCTCAGCCTCAGCCTCAGCCTCAGCCTCAGCTCTCAGCCTCAGCCTCAGCATCAGCCTCAGCCTCAGCCTCAGCCTGCCTCGGCTTGCCTCGGCCTCATCCTCAGCCTGCCTCAGCCTCAGCCTCAGCCTGCCTCAGCCTCAGCCTGCATCAGCCTCAGCCTCAGCCTGCCTCAGCCGCAGCTTGCCTCAGTCTCAGCCACAGCCTGCCTCGGTTTGCCTCGGCCTCAGCCTCGGCCTCAGCCTCAGCCTCAGCCTGCCTCAGCCTCAGCCTCAGCCTGCCTCAGCCTCAGCCTGCATCAGCCTCAGCCTCAGCCTGCCTCAGAAGCAGCTTGCCTCAGCCTCAGCCACCGCCACAGCCTCAGCCTCAGCCTGCCTCAGCTTCAGCCTCAGCGTCAGCCTGCCTCGGCTTGCCTCAGCCTGAGCCTCAGCCTCAGCCTGCCTCAGCCTCAGTCTTAGCCTGCCTCAGCCTCAGCCTTAGCCTGCCTCGGCCTCAGCCTGCGTCAGCCTGAGCCTCAGCCTGCCTCAGCCTCAGCCTGCCTCAGCCTCAGCCTCAGCCTGCCTCGGCGTGCCTCAGCCTCAGCCTCAGCCTGCCTCGGCCTCAGCCTGCCTCGGCCTCAGCCTGCCTCAACTCGGGCATGCAAAATATGGCACAGGACTGGTGTTCTGGGAACACGAAGATCACGAAGTGGCCCACAGTTGGCTCCGGGCAATCCAAATATGGTACAGGAATGGTGATCTGGGGGCACGAAGAACACGAAGTGGCCTACAGTTGGCTCCGGGCATTCAAAATGTGGCCTGGGAATGGTGTTCTCGGAACACGAAGAACACGAAGTGGCCTACAGTTGGCCCCGGGCATTCAAAATGTGGCCTGTGAATGGTGTTCTGGGAAGACGAAGAACACGAAATGGCCTACAGTTGGCTCCAGGCATTCAAAATGTGGCCTGGGAATGGTGTTCCAGGAACAGAGTCTGTAGGACTCCATAGGAAACGATAGGAATTTATAGGAGTCCTGGGGAGTCCCCGGATTCTCCCGGCACCCGCCCAGACCCCCCTGGGGAGTCAGGATGCTTTCTTTTGACCCCAAAACTTGTCAGTCTTCGATGTTAGGTAATAAACATAAGCTGTTGGCGCTCCGCGCAGATTTCTTGGATCTGCGCTGGGCCTCCCCAGCGGCGCCTGGAGCCGCCCCTGGCGCGCTCCGCGCACCAGGGACGGGGGTCCAGTGCAGGTCCAAGAAATCCGCGCGGAACGGCAGAAGTTCCCCACCCGACAGGTTGGGGTTGTTAGATTTCAAGAACAAGCCCCCTGGCCAACCCCACCTTGCACGCCGCGGCCGCTAGACCCCCAGTTGCCCCGATGATCCCCGAGGATCCCGGGGGTCCCGTCTCACGCCCGGCCAACCCCACCCTGCATACCGCGGCCGCCAGACCCCAAGTTGTCCATAGTTGTCCCGATCCCCGAGAATCCCGGGTGTCCCGCCTCGCGTCCTCGACGAGCACGACAGAACACAACACGACAGAACATGACGTGACATAACGGAACATAATAAGACAGACCATGATATCACATAACATATCAAAATCATGCCAAAGTAGAGCATGACATAACATCACACAACCTACCAGAGCAGAGCATGGAATAACCGGCTACGACGGACGACACCACAGCATAACAACAAAGAACACAGCATAACACACGGTCCATGACACAGCATCACAGACCAAACCATAACACGACAGCAGAGCATAGCGACGACGAACACGACATAACATTGCATGACACACCATAGCATGACCTTATATAACACGAGCATGACAGACCATGACCGAACTGCGCATAGCCATGCCATGACAACATATACCATACCATAACACCACAGGGCATACCAGAGCAGGACATGATATGATCGAAGACGACATAACATAATACTACACATCACACCATACCATAACATAACATAACCGAGCATACCATGAAATTAACTTGACATACTATATCAGATCATGACGCAGCATCAAATGACAAATCATAACACGAGAGCAGGGCATAGCGACACCGAACACGACAGACCACAGCATGCCAAAACAGAACATGCCATGATAGAACACGAGCATTACATAACATGGCAGACGAGAACATAACAATGCCATGAAACATAGAGCATAACATAATTTCACAGAGCAAACCAGAGCAGAACATGACATACCATAAGACTACACAACACAACATAACATAACCGAGCCAAATGTAACACACCTTGACATAACACTTCATATCATGACAAAGCATCAGTATGCATCAGAACACGACAGTAGAGCATAGCCACACATACTAGCAGAGCATATCATAATAGATAATACAGAGCCGAGCCGTCAGCAATCGGAAGATCACAGGGCATACCATAGCAGAGCATGACAGAACAGGCGACGACATAAAGCCACATAACATGTCATAGTTTACCATGAAAGCATATTGACATAACATGCCATGTCGTAACACAACATAACCGAACACTTTCAAAAACGATGTGCGCTCGGTGGTCAGCTCGGCCACAGGGACGTATCCAACGAAGCAGGCGTCACGACGTCACGCGGGCCCGTCGAGATCAGAACATCACGGAGCACAGTGTCACCTATTACGTCAGGGCAGGATCCAACCAGACACGCTTTAGTGCAACATCGCCTATACAGTAGCGCCCACTCCGCGGCGTCGCCCAGGCATCACGACGTCACGCTGGCCCGTCGAGGACAGAACCGGACGTGACAGAACATAGCATGACAGACCGTTTCCACATGGAACATGGTCGAACACTTTTTAATACAGCTAAGGCGGCAGTGGAGAGGAGTATCACGTCAGAACAGGACATGACAAAACACAGTAACATAGCAGATCAGGCTATTACATACTGAGCTGAGCCGTCAACAGTATCACCGAGTAGAGCATACTATGACATAACCTGGCAGAGCACATCCTGTCCTAACATGGTGCCACAGAGCAGAACGATCCGACGACGTATCTAACGTGACAGGCTTTACGACGTCACGCCGGCCCGTCGACATCATAACATCACAGAACACAGTATCACATACGCGCGCGCGTATCACGGAACACACATCTATTAGGCGACCGCGCGCCGTCGGGAATAAACGCTTCAGGTTTCGTGGGGATTGTTCGAAGCAAGTGCTTATGCCCTTGCTTTTGCTTCTACGGGAGCTGGTGTTTCATCCCGAGTCGTTTCTGGACGGCCCCGCGGCCCGGCGAGCTTGGTGTCACCGCTCGAGGGGGTCCGGGGCTCGGCGACCGCCCAGCAGGGGGCGCAGGCGGGCACCCTGCCGGCTGGCGGGCCTTCGGGGTGCGGGCCGGGTCCGGAGCTCCAGGACGAGGAGAGGTCCGTTCCAGAGCCCTCCAGAGCGCTCCCGGGGCGTTCTGGAGCGCTTCTGGGAAGGCCGCGGCGCCCGAGCCATCGTCCCGAGCCGCGGGATCTCAGGGATGCTCGATTGATCCACGCCCAGATTTGTCTGAGGTCGGGCGTGTCCCCCTACAGGCGGATTCTGGGCGAAAAACTGGAAATACTCATCCTGAGACATCCTGGGCTATCTTCGGCCATCTTGGAGGTCATCTTGGGCTCGCTGAGGCGCTCTTGGAGCAGGACGCTCCAGCCCCTCGCGAACCCCCCCGTCCAAGTCCAGGGGGAGGGGGCACGTAAGGGGGAGGGGTAAACCCCTCCCCGAAGGGGAAGAAGGGGGTTGGAAGAGAAAAATCACTAGACCACCTACGCCCAGAGGGCTGGTGGGATTACGTTGCCCCCTGGCGTCGTTCCAGGACTTGGGACCCAAGGGGGGGTCATGGCTGAGTTGAAGTGCTCACGAGCAGAATATACCAGTCACAAAGAGCGGCGGGTCGCGGCGGGTCGAGTGGCATCAGAAGCACAAGAGAACGGCGTAGCAGCGTTGCAATCGAGTGCGCAGTAAAACGAGACGTTCGGTGTACGTGTTTGCTCCGTGAGTGTCCGCGTGACCAGTTGTTCCATGTCCCTCTGCCACTTCCACCTGAACCACCACACTTCCACTAGCTCCATGGCGGCGCTGTGGCTGCTGACGCTTGGCGCCCCGCTGGCACAGGGCATCGCCTTCAAGTCGGAGGACCTGGGCGCCGGCCGCAGGGCCGACGTGCGCAGCTCGACCCTGACGCCGGAGGCCATGGACTTCTTCCGCGGCCTCGAGAACGCCTCCTCGAGGAGGCCCGTGATCATGCCGCCGGGCGATGTCCGGAAGGCGCTGCAGGAGTCGAGGCGCACCTTCGACCGCGCCAGCCTCCTGAGCGTGGACTCGGCCCGGAGCCGCAGGGGGGAGGGGGAGTTCCAGCCCTCGGAGGAGTTCCAGAGGGCCGGCGAGTCCCAGGGGCAGGGCGAGGGCGCCGAGCTGCCCTGGGGCGTTGGCACGCCCCGCACCGGCGACTCGTGGCCCGTCCACGAGTACTCGGCCATGCACATGCTCGACGTGCCCCACTGGGTCGAGTACAGCCTGGAAACTGGGGACAACATCCAAACCTTCAGCAGCGCCTGGCAGGACGTTAAGCTCATAACGCAGGTGCTCGAGAACGTCACCAACGGCTTCTACCTGGACACCCATGGCGGGGATGGCGAGACGAACAGCTACACGCTCCTGCTCGAGCTTACAGGCTGGCGCGGCCTCATCCTCGAACCTCAGATATACGAGTTCGCAACGTTGTGGGGCAAGCTGCGGAAAGCGTGGATATTCCTCGGGTGTTTGTCTCCGACAGGGAACGCCACGAAGATCGGCTTCGACACCGAGGGCGTAATCGACATGGAGAGCGGGCACTTCATCCACGCCTACAACATCCCCACCTTCATGGAAGAGCTGGGCGGTCGTAAGACTATTGACTTCTGGGCCGTGCACAATGGCCATTATGAGGCCGAGGTCTTGAATGAAACCTTCTTTTATTCAGGCAAGAACATAGAGTTCGGGGTCGTCCTGGTGCGCTTCGATGGTCGCCGCACTGGTCGTGGGTACCAATACTTCGTTCAGCACAGGTCCAAGGACGCTACGGAAGAGCTCATCTTTGAGATCATGCACAACGCCTCGTTCAACTACATCGGTGGCCTGGACGCGTATTGGATCAACTATGTCGAGCCGCGCTTTCACTACATGGACCATGTGTGGGTGAACCCTGCGTACTTCGAGAGGCGCGGCCTTCCCATTCCCACGTGGTGCAAGTCGGCACCGCCGCCCAAACTGGAGTACCCCCGCCAAGGCCATCTGAATGTCCCTGGACTGGACCAGCTGGAGAAGTGGGAAGGCTCGGGCTCTAGCCCTGGGCCGCACGTCTATGGACATGCCACCGATCTGAAGGCTGGCGTCATCCCTTTCAAATATGGAACGCCAGGGGTCCCCTACGGAACCGGGGAGTGGTACGGAGGAGGAGGCGGGGGGCAATGGGACCCCCGTTGGGACTGGGATGCGGGCTACACCTACAACGAGGAGGTCAACAAGGTGATGGCGTACATGAAGAAGGCGAAGCAGGATGCGGCCGCGACGGAGTCGGTGGCCAAGGCCCACCGCGTGGCGCCAACTCGGCTGTCATCGGTGGAGGGCCGCTGAGCTCGCCCGCCCGGCCGGCGCCAGCGCCCGTGGCTGGGAACAGGCCCGGCAACGCCAGGCTGCTTGCGCTAAAGCTTGCACCATGCACAGCTCTATTGCGTCTCCTGTGATGGACACCTCGCAAGTGTGACCATGACTCCGGCACCCGTCGACGGTGTCGCAGAGAAACACACGTGTGTCGCAAAGAAGCACGGGCTCATGGTCATGGGTACGTGTCGTCTGCCACCTCGAAGCGACCACGTGCCAGTCCACATCAAGATTCCGTAGTGCATCGCGTCTCACGCTCCCTCTGCCCAGCGTCCCCCGAGCTGTCATAACCTCTTGCTGGGGAGGGGCAGTATTACGGCGGACCAAGAGGGGAAGACGGGGAAGGAGGATGGCGAGGGGAAAGATGAGGAGTGGAGGAAGCGGAGGAGGAAGTGGAGGAGGAGGATCGGGTCAGGACATTGACCCGCTTGCTCGCCATGTGTTCCCAGCAGGATTTGGAGGGGAATGTGGATTGCCCCCCCTCCTATGTAGCCCCCCTTCTCTCCAGAGGCGCGCCTCCTTCCTCCCCCTCCTACGTAATTCGTTGCTAAAGCCCCCCTGGACCTGAAACTCCACATACCATTAAAACGCCCCAGCATAATGCTTGAACCGAGTCAAGCCCAGACTCTTATTCTTCATTCTCCTCAGTCCACTTCTTGCCGACACCCTCCCCTTTCTATACTCCTCCAGCTCCTCTTATGCTCCTTATCCCTCCTTTCTAGAAGAAGCCCGAAGGCCTTATCAACACCACATACGCCATTACCCGCTAGAATCCCATCACTATCCACGGCACGTGTTTGATCCTCTCCCTCTTCGTTCCCCCTCCTCTGTCACCTCAGTTGCCCACTCCCCACCACTACCCATCATTCCTCTTCTTCGAATGTCGAACGCAGCTTCCACCCACCCCTAAAACACCTTTTTCCGCAAAACATGCTCATCCTCCCCATCGCCTCTCTTCCCCCTTTCCTCCCCCCAGCCCCGAACCTTTATCATACCCATCGGCTGCCCCCTCCTCCCCCGTCCCTCATCATGGTTTCCAAGAGAGACCCCCGAACAGCCACACGGAGCATGTTACAGTGTTACAGTCCTCGTCGACACAACTGGATCCACGCAGGAATCCGAGCCAGACTGCGCCCTGAGAGTTCCGGGGGCCGATTTTCATAGCGCCCTGGAGGCCCCACCAAAAAGAGGCAGCGCCGGAGTTAGATGTTCCTGCTTGTGGGAGGGGGGGGAGACTTCAATGAGGGGACGGGATCGGAGGAGGGAGGGTTAGATGATCCAACACCCCCTCCTGCGCCCCCCGCCCGCCTGTCGCCTTCCCCATCCGCCATCGCCTCATCATGCGCCCTCCCGCCCGCGGACCTCGTTCCCGCCCCTGGACACCCTTGCGCTTGTCTGCGATCCTGCGGCGCGCCCTGGAGGTTCGTGGGGGCGGAGCGTTCTGCCCGGCACCCTCTCGAGACCGCACCCTTGGACGAGGAGGAGGAGGAGGAGTCAGAGGAGAGGGTGGAGGAGGAGGAGAAGGAGAAACACCAGGTGAAGGAGGACGGGGGCAAGAGGAGGATGAGGAGTAGCACGGGGTGGCGGAGGAGGAGGAGGAGGTGGATGGGGGCACGACGAGGAGGCGAAGGGGAGGAGAGTGCGGTGGGGGCCGATCCAAGGTGGGCGCCAGCGTCATGCGCGAAATCATGCGCAGCGTCTCCCCGATCTCCGAGCCAGGCGTGCAGCTGGGCAACAAGCGAAGGACCATCTCCTTTTCCATATCGTCGTCGTTGGCGTAGTCCTGGGAGGTGGGGGCGGGGAGGGGTCGGGCGAGGAGGAGGAGGAGGAGGAGGAGGAGGAGGAGGAGGAGGAGGAGGAGGAGGAGGGGGATCCGTAGCCATTTTGGCTCAAGCCATTTTGGCTGAAGTGGTCATCTTCTCAAGGTTGTTGAGTCAACCCGCGATTGCCGTGGTTCCTCCAGGTGGCTTCAGGACCTGGGACCCCTTCGTTTCGCGTGCAGCATGCCCTACAAGAGCAACAACAGCCATGCGTGGAAATCTTGTTGGGCGTGTCCTAACAAACGGTGCAACTTCAAAGATACTTTCGGATGGAGGGGCATTTGCTGGGCTTACGGAACCAAGAAGCCCAAGGTCCCAGGGGTGGTGGTTTCTCCTGCTCCTGGTTGCGCTTGGGGTAAGCGTGTGCTCACGGATGAGGAGTTTGCCTCGTGCTCGCAGCTCGATGCGCCCACTTTCCGCTCCCTCATGCCGTCCCTCTCGCAGTCTCAGCGGGACACGCTTCTGCACCGCCGTGCAGTGGCAGCGGCGGGGCTGGCGGAGCTCGTCGTGTTGGCAGTGCAGGCCTCGCAGGACGTCGGTACTCTCTCCGGCCAATTGCTTGCGGCCCGCACTCGGTTCGAGAAGGCGCGGGCGTCGGCTCGGGAGGCGCTCGCCTGTGTGGTCGAGGTCGAGGATGCGTTTGCGGAGCTTCAGGGGAAGTGCGATTCTGCCCGCGCTCGGGCGGCGGGGGGCCGTGGCATCCCCTGGCCAGGGGCCCCAGACGGCCCAGGTCCAGCAGGCGAGCAGTGCACTCGAGGGCATGGTGGGCGTGCTCGCGGTGCAAGGCGGCCAGGCGGCGCAGCTGGCGCAAGCCCTGGGCGCCGTCCATCAGAGCGTGAATTACCTACCCCGCTTTCGCTTCCAGGCAAAACCAAGTCATACCACGAGCCTCCTCGTCAAGCGGTCTGACCAGTACAGGCCGTAGTTTGGCATCGCTTGGCATCTCTTGGAAGCGAGGGTGGTCAAAAGCGAGGTAGGTTTGTTTGCCCCCTAGTCCAGCAGTTGCTCGCGGCCTTGGGGGTGCAGCAGTCGCCTGCCGTGCCGCCCGCGGCGCCCACCCCAGCGGGGGCAGCGGGTGGCGCTGCCGCGCCACAGGCGCAGCAGGCCCCAGAAGCAACAGCAGCAGTTGGTTCAGGCCCCGGTCGTGCCGAGAGAGCTTGCTTCAGGAGGGAAAAAACACACAGACACAATTAATCGTCGATTCCCCAGAAAATATGGGAAAATATGGGGAAGTGGGGGGGAAGACAAACACCCCCAAAAAATATGAAAATATGGGGAATAGTTTTATTTTCCAACCCTCCTGCGTTGGGTACTCGTTTTGAATAGAGCACTGCGGTCTCCACCTTCCTTCCTTCCTTCCTTCCTTCCTTCCTTCCTTCCCGCCTCCTCCCGTCATCCCTGGTGGGGCTGCGATCTGCGAAACTGTCACCACTTTCGAGGGCTGCTGGGGGGCCCAGCGGAGTGACGCCCTACGGGGATTCAGATTAGACCTCGCCATCCCTGGGGGGCTGCGATCTGTGAAACTGTCGCCACTTTCGAGGCTGCTGGGGGGCCCAGCGGAGTGACGCCCTACGGGGATTCAGATTAGACCTCGCCATCCCTGGGGGGCTGCGATCTGTGAAACTGTCGCCACTTTCGAGGGCTGCTGGGGGGCCCAGCGGAGTGACGCCCTACGGGGATTCAGATTAGACCTCGCCATCCCTGGGGGGCTGCGATCTGTGAAACTGTCGCCACTTTCGAGGGCTGCTGGGGGGCCCAGCGGAGTGACGCCCTACGGGGATTCAGATTAGACCTCGCCATCCCTGGGGGGCTGCGATCTGTGAAACTGTCGCCACTTTCGAGGCTGCTGGGGGGCCCAGCGGAGTGACGCCCTACGGGGATTCAGATTAGACCTCGCCATCCCTGGGGGGCTGCGATCTGTGAAACTGTCGCCACTTTCGAGGCTGCTGGGGGGCCCAGCGGAGTGACGCCCTACGGGGATTCAGATTAGACCTCGCCATCCCTGGGGGGCTGCGATCTGTGAAACTGTCGCCACTTTCGAGGCTGCTGGGGGGCCCAGCGGAGTGACGCCCTACGGGGATTCAGATTAGACCTCGCCATCCCTGGGGGGCTGCGATCTGTGAAACTGTCGCCACTTTCGAGGGCTGCTGGGGGGCCCAGCGGAGTGACGCCCTACGGGGATTCAGATTAGACCTCGCCATCCCTGGGGGGCTGCGATCTGTGAAACTGTCGCCACTTTCGAGGGCTGCTGGGGGGCCCAGCGGAGTGACGCCCTACGGGGATTCAGATTAGACCTCGCCATCCCTGGGGGGCTGCGATCTGTGAAACTGTCGCCACTTTCGAGGGCTGCTGGGGGGCCCAGCGGAGTGACGCCCTACGGGGATTCAGATTAGACCTCGCCATCCCTGGGGGGCTGCGATCTGTGAAACTGTCGCCACTTTCGAAGGCTGCGTGGGGGGCCCAGCGGAGTGACGCCCTACGGGGATACAGATTAGACCTCGCCATCCCTGGGGGGCTGCGATCTGTGAAACTGTCGCCACTTTCGAAGGCTGCTGGGGGGCCAGCGGAGTGACGTCCTACGGGGACTCAGATTAGACCTCGCCAGCGCTGGGGGGCTACGATCTGTGAAACTGTCGCCACTTTCGAGGGCTGCTGTGGGGCCCATGAAACTGTCGCCACTTTCGAGACCTGCTGCGGGGTCCAGCATAGTGACGTCCTACGCGGACGCAGATTGGACCCGTCATTCTACTTCGATTATCCCGCATCTGCGATCGACTGTATGTGTGCGAGGAACTAGACATGGAGTGGTCTGGCACTGACTGACGTCAAATCGTTGTGTGCCAGTGTCTCCTGGGGTGTTGCCTGATGTGGATGCAGCTCGTCGGCGCTGCGACTCGAGCTGGCGGTCGTCCTTCGGACCCGCAGAAACATCTGCTGAGCTCGATGAGCTAGGGGAACTACAGGAAAGAAGTGCAGGAAACGGAGGCCGGTCATGCACTCGCCGATACCTCGTTGCTCTGTCATCGTCTTTGCTGTTGCATGATCCTTATCTGGCCTGCCGGCGCCGCGGCTCGAGCTGGCGGTCGCCCTTCGGGCCCGCGGGAACATCTTCTGAGACAAGTGGACGCCGCCGCCTTACTTGCAGGCAGCGCATTGCATTCGCGGACAGCAGCATGGCAGACCGCAGTGAGATCCTCAGTCGCGTGGTGTTGCCAAGCCTGGTGGAGACGCGCGTGATCGACCTGAAGTCCCAATCGCGCGTGCACTGTACCTGCGTGGCGTTCAGGCACGCGCGTGATGCTGCTCGCTCCGCGTTCAACCAGTACGTCGCCAGTGCAACTTTGGACGATGGACAACCGATTGATGATACGCGACCCCGGCCTTGAGTTTCTTTCCCGCGGGCCGCCCGCAGACCTGGCGGCGCGCCTGCGAGCGTTCAGCTCCCGCGCTGAAATGTGCGGGAAGGAGGCGGAGAAGCTAGCGGGCGAGCTACGCCTCGCTCGTTCCTTGCACTCTAAACAGTTCTATCATGTGGAACTCTGCGACGACATGGCGCAGGCAGCGCTGCGGGTTTAGCTCGCACTTGAAAAACGCGGCAGTCTTCTGTCTCCTCCCGCCACTTTCATCGTCGTCCTATTCCCCGCCTCACCTTCTCCACGCATGCTGCTGCTTCCGCGATGGCCTTTCGCCCCCCCCCGCCCTCCATTCCATCCCTCTCCTACCCCTCGTTCCCGTACCCGTTCTTCTTCGATCCTGGGGCCTCAAGCCTCGTTCTTTCGATCGTCGTCCTGTGAATCGTGCAACGCATGCGCATCCCATGTAGCTTGCACAGCAAATCGCCGCGTCTACACTGTCGTCGTTCCTGCTAATGTTGGCACACTCCTCTTGCCATTTGATGCACGTGGGTTGGGTACGTCGCAGGGTAGTTGTGTGTATTTATTTGATCGCTTCGCTCATTCCGCCGGCCCGTATTGTGCCATCGCAGGCGTTTGCTTGCGCGTTCGTGGCCTCTTGGAGCCTCGTTGGGGCCGTTTGGGGCCTCTTGGCGCCTCTTTTTAGGCCTCTTGGAGAACTCGGGAGGCCTCCAGGGGGCCTCCTGAGCACTCGTGGCGGTCTCTTGGGGGGCTTTCGGCGGGCTCTTGGCGGTATTTGTTGGTCCTCTTGGGGCCTGGGGCCTGACGTTGTTGGTCCTCTTGGGGCCTCACGGGAGCTTATTGGGGCGTCTTGGGGGTGTCTTGGAGAGTCTCTTGGGGCCTCTTTCGGGGTCCTGGGCGCCTTCTGGGGCGGAGGGCTCGATTTTTCAGTTCTCGGTTCCCTTCTTGAGCCCCTCTTGGGCCCGTCTTGGGGCCTCTTGGTCCGCCTTGGGCGGCACTTGGGCCGTCTGGGGGGCGCTCTTGGGCCGCTCCGGGGCCGTCTTGGGAGCCTCGTGGGCCGTCTTGGAGCAGTCTTGAAGGCCTCTTGGGCCCTCTTGGAGCGTCCGGAAGCGAAAAGGCCAGAACGCAAAAAAACATAGAAAAAACAATGAAAATCAACGATTTTGGCAACTTGGGGCCCTCTTCGGAGGCCTCTTGGAAGGCCCTTGGAGCGTCTTGGAGGCCTCTTGGGCTGTCTTGGGGCCATCTGGGGCGTCTTCGGGCGATCTTTGGCCGTCTCGGGCCTCTCTTGGACCGTCTAGAAAGCTTCTCGGGGCCCTCTTGGACCGATCTGGAGCCCTCTTGGACTCCGAAACAGAACTCTGGCATCTCTGACCCGACCTTGCCGGGGACTTGCCGCTTGCCGGGGTACTTTTCGTCCAGGGACCCCCAGGGGCCGCCCCGCGCGCGCGAACTAAAAATACTGTTAACCAGGTACCGGAGATCTTAGCACGCCCTGGCCCGTTGGGCCGGCGAATTTGTGTGTCCTGGGGCCCCTTCATTGCTGTTTGGCGTCAAAATCATGGCAGGCATCCTGGCGGCGCTGCCTGGGGTGGCACCGAGCAGGGTGACCTCGAGATGCGCGCTCCCGACGCCCAGCCCGCAGCCAGGTGGCAGCGCGAGGGGCCAGCAGCGGAGGGAGCAGACGCGCTGGCGCCGCGGCCGCGCAGCCGCTCCCCAGCGGAGGTCGCGTCGGCTTCCGCGGCTCTGCGCCGCGGTGCTGTCGTTGGCGGTCGGCGGCAGCGCGGGCAGCCCAGGACACGGATCGCAGGCTCGGGGGCCAGGGGGGGGGTGCTCTGCGCGACGCTCCTTGCGGCCGTGGCGGCCCAGGCGCTTCATCGGGCCCCACCGGCGGTGTCCCCCCTGCCAGGCGCGTCGGTGCCCTCGGGCGTCCCCTCCGCGCCTGGATCGCAGCCAGGGGTGGCGAATGTCGAGTCGGTAGAAGTGATGAGCGGGCTGCCTCGCGGGTCAGCCGCGGCACATCGTGGCGATCGTCAGCTGGGCCACCTCGTATTTGCGTCGGCTTCCTTTGGTGATCGCGGCGGTGTTCGAGGTCACGCTCACTACGGCCGTGGCGACCCTCCTGCTGCACCCTCTGACCCAGAAGAGGTGATACTTGCGTGTGACGAGGAGGGCGATCGGAGGGGGGGAGAAGGCGGTGGTGGATGACATGCAAAGATCGAGAAGAGGGGAAGGGCGGGCAGAAGAGGAGAGGGAGGAGGAGGAGGAGGAGGAGGATAAGGATGAGAAGATGAGGATGAGGATGAGGATGGTGATGATGATGATGATGATGATGATGATGATGATGATGATGATGATGCTGATGCTGATGATGATGATGATGATGATGATGATGGTGATGATGATGATGATGATGATGATGCTGATGCTGATGCTGATGCTGATGATGATGAGGAGGAGGAGGAGGAGGGGAAGAGTGAGGAGGATGGAGGAAACGCATCAAGGAACAGGAGGTGGGAAGCTAAGTAGGAACTGGCGATTCGTTCTAATGGGAGCATGAGGGGGAGTGAGCGCACGTAGGAGGGAGGGGGCAGGGATGATATGGGGTAGGAAGAAATTCGCCGGCCCAACGGGCCAGGGCGTGCTAAGATCTCCGGTACCTGGTTAACAGTATTTCTAGTTCGCGCGCGCGGGGCGGCCCCTGGGGGTCCCCGGACGAAAAGTACCCCGGCAAGGTCCCGGCAAGTCCCCGGCAAGGTCGGGTCAGAGATGCCAGAGTTCTGTTTCGGAGTCCAAGAGGGCTCCAGATCGGTCCAAGAGGGCCCCGAGAAGCTTTCTAGACGGTCCAAGAGAGGCCCGAGACGGCCAAAGATCGCCCGAAGACGCCCCAGATGGCCCCAAGACAGCCCAAGAGGCCTCCAAGACGCTCCAAGGGCCTTCCAAGAGGCCTCCGAAGAGGGCCCCAAGTTGCCAAAATCGTTGATTTTCATTGTTTTTTCGATGTTTTTTTGCGTTCTGGCCTTTTCGCTTCCGGACGCTCCAAGAGGGCCCAAGAGGCCTTCAAGACTGCTCCAAGACGGCCCACGAGGCTCCCAAGACGGCCCCGGAGCGGCCCAAGAGCGCCCCCCAGACGGCCCAAGTGCTGCCCAAGGCGGACCAAGAGGCCCCAAGACGGGCCCAAGAGGGGCTCAAGAAGGGAACCGAGAACTGAAAAATCGAGCCCTCCGCCCCAGAAGGCGCCCAGGACCCCGAAAGAGGCCCCAAGAGACTCTCCAAGACACCCCCAAGACGCCCCAATAAGCTCCCGTGAGGCCCCAAGAGGACCAACAACGTCAGGCCCCAGGCCCCAAGAGGACCAACAAATACCGCCAAGAGCCCGCCGAAAGCCCCCCAAGAGACCGTCACGAGAGCTCAGGAGGCCCCCTGGAGGCCTCCCGAGTTCTCCAAGAGGCCTAAAAAGAGGCGCCAAGAGGCCCCAAACGGCCCCACCGAGGCTCCAAGGGGCCACGAACGCGCAAGCAAACGCCTGCGATGGCACAATACGGGCCGGCGGAATGAGCGAAGCGATTAAATAAGAAGACGGTCACGACGAGGAGAACGAAGATGAGAACGAGGGGGAGGAGGATGAGCAAGAGGACGCCGTAACAATATGCAGACCCAGAGCTCGCACTACGAGGAGTAAACGAGGGCGACGCAATAGCACGCAAGAGCAGCACCAGTAACACGCGCGATAAGACGAGGCGCATGGGATGAGCAGGCGAAGGAACGGGAACAGGGGATGCGAATGAGGGGGGGTCGAAAGGGTGGGGGACGGGGAAGGGGGGGAGGGGGAGAGAGAGAGAGAGGAGTGGGGTGGGGGGTCAGTCGAAGGAGGGCGGACGGGGAAGGGGGGAATGGGAAGCGAGGGGGGAGGGGGGAAGGGGAAGGGAGGGGGGGAAGGGAGGAAGGGGAGAGAGAGAGGAGGGGAAGGCGGGCAGAGGGGGGAGGTGGAGTCGAAAAGGGGGATGGGGAGTCGAAAGGGGGGAGGGGGAGTCGAAGGGGGGGACGGGGAGAGAAAGAGAGAGAGAGAGAGAAAGGAGGTGGAGCAGGACGAGGATCCGTGGGAGTGGCGGGGAGGGTGGGGACGGAGAGGGGAGGAGGGTGTCACTGGGGAGTAGAGGAAGGGGAGGAGCTGTGATCCAAGACCCCCAACGTCATGGTCTTTCCAGACCCTCGACCCCCCAAAGGTCTCGACGCATTCCCAAGGACCGGCCTCCCATTCGCTCTCTGGCGGCCCGACGGGACGCTCTTGGCATCCCCAGAACGCCCTCGGCGAGGAGCAGCTGATGGAAAGCCCCCCCCGGCTTTGGAAGCTCGACATCTTGTAGTGGCCTCCGGCCAGTGCCGCCGATCCGGGACGCTCCGGATGATGATAATGATGATGATGATGATGATGATGATGATGATGATGATGATGATGATGATGATGATGATGATGATGATGATGATGATGATCTGATGCTGATGCTGATGCTGATGATGATGATGATGATGATGATGAGGATGATGATGAGGAGGAGGAGGAGGAGGATGAGGATGAGGATGATGATGAGGATGAGGAGGAGGATGATGATGATCATGATCATGAGCATGATCATGATCATGATGCTGCTGATGATGATGATGGTGATGTGACGATGGTGGTGGTGATGGTGATGGAGATGGTGATGATCCCGGCCCCCCCTCCCCACCTCCCCTCCTCTCTCCTGTCCCCCTCCCTCTCTCGTCAACACCGCGAACCAACGTAACTACCACGTCATGGTCATCTTTAATCGTGTCAGGAAACCAGTCTTGCGACGTCAACAACAGAATCTTTCAAACCCTTGCGAATATTTTGATACAAATGTGCGCGGCGCTCAGGCGAGAGCTAAGTTTTGGAAAGAACGCGCCCTCCATCTTTTGAATGGTTGCAATCTACCAAGACGAAATTGCAGGCGAGAGGCACATTCTGAAAAGCAACTGGCCTCCATCATTCCATCCTGGAAGCGGCTGCAAGCTTTGAAACCTATAGTGCGAGGCACCAAGGCGAGAGCCACATTTGGAAGACAACCCACCCTTCATCCGAGAGGCGGTTGCAAACGTTTGAAACGAATGTGCACAGCGCCAGGGCCAGAGTCACATTTTCATAATGGCCCGCCCTCCATTTTTGAAATTGCTGCAAATTTCCAACTTCAGGATCCTTAGCATGCTGAGGAAGTCTCCCGCGAAGCGCCCGGCCCGGCCTGCCGACACGCCTGGGGATGCGACAGGAAGTAGTTATTGGCAGTGAGAGAAGGACAAGGACGCATGGAACAGACCATGAAGAGATCCCTTTTCGATTCAGCGCCGCATGCTGGGAGGCAGCAGCAGCTCCATCCCTGAAACGGGACAAAGTCCGCAATGGCGCGCCCCTCGTAGACCCGGGTGACATGCCGGATCTCTCTGAGTCGCAGCAGTGGGCCTGAGCACATCAGCCATCCATGGCCTGTGCCCTGCTCCCTCCTTCTGCTTCTTCCGCTGCGTGCCCCTCCTGCGCGGTTCCCGCAGCCCGCCGTGGGCGGTTGGGCGTCCCGCTTGGCATCTCCCTCGGGGGTCGGGGGCTTTGCGTTTCTCCGCCTCCTGCTCCTCCCTCCTCCTCCTCCCTCCTCCCTCCATGTTCCATATTCCCATATTGTCATGCCGTCCTTGCTTATATTGCAGGTGCACTCTCCCTGGAGGCCGGTGGCACCATCTAGCAGGTCGCCTGTGGTGTCTGAATGTGGGCGGGGGGCTGCTCTCAGCCGGTCGCGACTTCCCGCTGTCGGGCCATGCCGTGGGTTCGCAGGCGCACAGTGCCAGCGAAGCGGCTGCGACACAGTCAATGGCGTCTCCGCGCGCTCGTTGCGGCGTGGTGGATGGCACAGACGTTGGCGCGCCACGGAGCCGGTGAGTGAGTGAGTGTGGATAGGGAAACGAAGTCGACGATGAAGGCTAAGGGAGGAGAAGGAAGGACGGAGGGGACCCAGACCCCCCACGTCGTGTTTTTGTTCATGACGTCGACACCCAGAAGTCTGGACCCCTTCCCCAGGACGCCTGAATCGTTTTCTGACGGTCCCGAGGCCAGGGAAGGGCCCCCGGAGGCCAGAAATAGCGAAGAATTTTCCGTCGTGTTTTTTTCAGAGCGCGAGGGGGTCTGGGGAGAGAGAAGGAGAAGGAGGAAGAGGTGGAGGAAGGATGGAGGGTGAGGGTCTTCGCGCAGTCAGCGGGCCGCCCCCAACGGGCTGGCCGGCAGGGCTGCGGACGACTCCGATGAGGACGAGAGCCCGGCGCGGGCCAAGAAGAGAAAGAAGAAGGACAAGAAGGACACGTCCCCCTCCCATATCGACTATAGTTCTAGTCCTCCGATACGGGGTCGGAGTTGATGGGGTCGGAGGATCGCGCCGCATCGCCGATGCATCGACGATGCGGCTCGGTGTGGAGTCCGATTTGCTTCGCGCCGACGTCGCCGATGCATCGCCGACGTCGACGATGCGTCGCCGGTGCATCCCCAGTGCAACGCCGATGCATCGCCGATGCATCGGCGAGACGGCGCGATCCACCGACCCCATCTACTCCGACCCCACCCAGGAGGCCTCTAGACGCGCCGCCCTCCCAGATCGAATAACAGTACAGTCGTCAGGATACAGCTCCTGGGAGGTTTCTCCCAGGTCGGTGGTATATCCGAGGTCGAAGGCAGGCCGCGCCCTTCTCCTGCTCCCCCTCTTGCGTGGTGGCACAGTTCGCCACAACGGCACCCCCGTTTAGGCTTTCCCGCTAGCGCAGACTTCCCCTGCCCCGCAGCCGACGCCAACAGTGTGTGGGCGCCCCGCGGCCCCCCAACGAGCCGCGCACCAGAGGTCCGCTCTTGCCCAGGGTCGCTCGCTGCGTGCAGCCCAGAGGCCCGACCGGGGCAAGAGGCAGCAGCACTGGTGCCCTCTCCCCCTCGGAGCCCTCCCTGGATCCTCGAGGCCCCGCGCCCCGACCCCCCCCCCCGCCCTCGGCAGTGGCCACGGGCCTCTCGGGCCCGCCGCGGGGCCGCGGCCTCGGGGGGGCCTCAGACCGGAATCTCGGGGCCCGCGCTCGTCGCGGGGCGGCCGGCTTCCGCGGGCAGGCTTCGCGCCAGCGACCGGACGGGGCGGGGACGAGGATGCAGCTGGACGGAGGTATAGGATCTAGGTCGGTTCGGGGAGGGTACCTTCATGTTTTCCGTGCTTGCTGGATGTTCTTGTGCATCCTGGGGGAGGGCGCCCTCGAACGATCTTCAGTTGGGGCTGGCGGAGGGTCGCATGCTCTTGAAATCTCTGGAAGGATGTTCTTCTGTCCAGGGTCCGACTGTAGATGCGTTCCAGAGCGTTCCGACGCGCTCCCAGAGCGTTCCACAACGCTCTGACAAGGCCGCGGAGCCCGAGACATCCTCCAGAGCCGCCGGCTCTCAGAGACTCTCGCTTTAGACTCACCCGATTCGGTCCTCGTCCTGGCTTCGTCGAAATGAGAACTGGCAGGCAGATCGATGTAATCGTGGAGCTATGCGGTCGGGAGCGTCTGCTTGGTGTGTCGCGCCGCCGACAACGCTTCGGCGAGCTACGCCGAGCACGCTCCCAAGCCCAAGGCGTCAACGTCCCGAGCCTGTCCAAGCCTCCCGCCCCGCGGCGTGGAGGGACGCTTGGAGAAGGACAAGGTGCCCATACCGCTACCCTTCCTTCGTGTTCCCCTTTTGGGCCTCCTGGGAGGTCTAGGGAGTATCAGGAGGGGAGAAAGAACACACAGACACAATGAGTCGTCGACTCCCCAGAAAATATGGGAAGATACGGGAAGTGGGGGGGGGATGACGAAAACCCAGAAAATATGTGGAAATATGGGGAACCCTGGGATTTGTGTGTGTGCTTGTTTGTGTGTCCTTGGGCCCCTTCAATCTGTCCTAACGCACTTGTCTGCTGCAACCCTCCTCCCTCTCCACACGCGACGGGCTGCACGTTGTGTGCTACGCGTCACCCCGTGACCCACGGTATGCGATCGTGCGGGGTAGGCCTTGATCCAGCTCGGTTCTCTGCGATCGGCGGGCCAGCGCCGAGACTGATTACGCGCAAGGCCGAGCACGGCCGAGCTTTATCATCCATCTTCCCAGTCGCACCACCATTGTTCCCCCTCGCATGTTGTGATCATTTTTCAATCCTGTGGTCAATGTGCCGCTTCATGTTATTGCTCTTACCATCGTTGGTGATACCCTGTCATGCGACGTCGTGATTTGTTCGGTACGGGGTCCCTGGAAGTCACGACCCTTTCCCCGGGACCGGCTTTTCATCCTGAGTCGCTCTTGTGACGGGCCCGAGGCCTGGCGAGGGCCCCCCGAGGCCGAAAATGGCCAGAAACTTCCTGCCCTGATTTGTTTGAGGACGCGATCCTGTCTGGGACTGTCACGACCTCGCCCCTCTCTGCTGGGATTCCCCCCGCCGCAAGAGGAGAAGAAGGGCAAGAAGGACCGGGCGCACAGGCCCTCTGCGGGGAGAGAGGGGGGGGGGGGGACGCCCGCGGGGGGCACGGTCCCGGGCCGCCCCGCCGAGCCCGGGGGGGGGATCGAGAGCGCCCGAGGATCGGGGAGGATCGGGGAGGATCGGGGAGGATCGAGGAGGATCGAGGATCGAGGAGGATCGATGGTCGAGGGAGGATGGAGGAGGATGGAGGAGGATCGAGGATCGGGGAGGATCGGGGAGGAGGAGGAGCGAGGCTCGAGGGACCGGGAGGGGGAGGCCGACCCCCCCCCCCCGCCCCTCGTGTCGTGCGCAGCCACCAGGGCGGACCGTGCGTTGGCCGCGGTCGGCCTCCCGGGGGGGGCCCTGGCCCGGGCCCCAGGGCCGCCCAAACGGCTCGGGACGAGGCACCCGTCCCGGGGAACGGGGGCGTTTGGGAGCGACGTCACATGACACTCTGAAGCAACAAACCCAGACCCCCTCGCGCTGTGACAAAAAGCATCACGGGGCGTTTGTCGCAATCTTCAGGCTCCGGGGGCCCTTCCCTGGCCTCGGGGCCATCAAAAGACGACTCAGGATGAAAAGCCGGTCCCCAGGAAGGGGTCCAGACCTCTGGGGGTCGACGTTGTGAAAAAATCACGACGTCGGGGTATGACGTGTAATCGTTTTCGGATTCCTTGTTTTGCCGATCGGCGCGGGCCCTCGCACCCCCGGCCCCCCCCCCGCAGAGTTGATCTTGGCTGTTTTTTGGGCGCCTGTGTCAGGCAGGTGGAGTCTCCGCCATTGGACGCACTGTTGCAAACAGTCGCATTCAGCAGAGGTCCGGAACCAGACCCCATTCCGCCCCCCTTTCCGCCCAATGTCGAAACGCCGAGAAGATACCGTTCACATAATGTTCTGAAACAACAAATATGACGTTGGGGGTCTGGGGAGCCTCGAGGAGGATCCAGGTCGAGCGAATCCAGGACTATGGGAGCGGCCCTTCAGAGGAGCACTGAGTCATGACAGTGCTGCTTCCACATTGGCTTTCTGTAGATTTCCCTTTGCTCCGCGCGGGTTCAAGGAACAAGGGCCGCTGCATACTCCAGAATTCCTGGAGCGCACCCTGAGCCAATCGCATCATGATATCATTGTCCTAGTTCTGGCTCTCTCTCTGGTTGGCCTCGGGGAGCCCGTGGGGGTCTGGTTGGGCCTCCAGAGGCCCTGGGGCCCGCTGGAGGCCTCCGCGGAGGCCTCCGGAGGCCCCCACGGAACTCGGCGGGGATGAGGGTCGGGGGCCAGAAGTTGTGCACAACCTCCAGCACTGGCAGGGCTCATTTCGATTCCTCCGGTTCGATTCGATTCGATTTCGCTGGCTTCCGATTCCGATTCGATTCGACTTGGGATTCCGATTTGGGCTTCGATTTCTCATTGGAGGCCTGCTAAACTGCCGACTTCCGCCGATTCGGCTGCCGATTTCTGCCGATCCGATTGATTTTGATCGACGATACGACTTCTCGATTCGATCCCGGGCTTTCTCGCCCTGGCCTGCGCCTAGAACCTGTGCAGATCTCGATCCTCGACCTCGATCCTTAGGTTTCCGGGAAGTGTTGGGGGGGGGAGGGGGAGGGATCTTTCTTTACGGCGTCCACCAGGCTAAGCACAAGCAGCTGCAAAGAATAGTGCTGACGGCGACGGAGAGGGTGCGGGTGGCGCAACTGCAGTGGCCCAGGGACTGTTCTGAGGCGGCAGGATCACGGCGCAATCGCACAGTGGCCGAGGGCGAAGCAGCGTGAGTCCGATCCCGTCTACGGTCAGGAGCGTTTGCTTAGCGTCCGAGTGCCCGGGCAGTGGTGCCCCGGGCGGTTTTCCGGTCTCCCGCCCCACGATTCAGAGCGACACGCTGCCAGCTTGCAGCTGCATGACCTTGCAGGGCCCTGCGTGGCGCAGGGGCCGCCGCCCCGACACGCTCGTCAGAAGTTCCAGACCCCAGGGGGTGGACGGGGCGGGAAGAGCGGAGCGGAGGGTGGAGGTGGAGAAGGAGGAGGGAGGAGGAGAGAGTGAGGGAGGGGGGAGGCGGAGCTTCGTGTCGCCCTCCCTTCCCTTCCCTGGGCCGTAGAGAGCACACGGGTTGCAACGGTACGCGGCGGCGGCGGGTGCAGCAGGCGAACGGGAGCAGGAGCTGGAGACGGGGGGAGGGGAACGGGAGGGGTTACAATAGCAGGAGGAGCGGGTGCAGGTGCGAGAGTGGGGCAGGAGCAGGGAGGAGGAGGAGGAGGAGGAGGAGGAGGAGGAGGGAGGAGGAGGACGAAGGATGGAGGAGGGAAGGAGGAGGACGAGGAGGAGGAGGAGGAGGAGAAGGAGAATAAGGAGGAGAAGCAGGGTGGGGGAGGATGGATGGGAAGGACAAGGATACACAGAAGGATGTATGAGGAGGGGGGATGAAGGAGGAGGATGGAGGATGGAGAAGAGGGAGGAGGAGGCGGAGGAGGAGGAGGATGAAGGAGGTGTAGTTACGAGGAGGAGGAGGAGGAGGAGAGGAGGAGGTGCAGGCGGAGCAGGAGGAGGATGAGCAGGAGGATGAGGAGGAGGAGGAGGAGGAGGAGGAGGAGGAGGAGGAGGAGGTATGGAGGAGTATGGATGAGGACGGAGGAGTATGGAGGTGGAGAGAGGAGGGAGCTGGCCCAGCCCCGCTGGCTCTCCCTCCGACCCACCCCGCAGGGAGCTGGGCGCGCAGGCGCTCAAGGACTGCCGCCGCCCAGCCCCGCAGCGCCCCCTCCTCCTCCTCCTCCTCCTCCTCCTCCTCCTCCTCCTCCTCCGCAGGTGCCATGGTTGCTCGAGCGATTCAGCTGGCAGCAGGCCAGACCTTTTTCGCAGCAGCCACAACTGGGGGCTTCCTCGCTCTCTGCCTCCGCGCGTGCGAGCCGTGGCTGGGAGGTACGAAGGTGCTCGGCTGGAACCCTCAGAGCGCTCGTGGGGATCGGCTTGAGGAGATTGTCTTGGCGTGCAGGTCGTTTGACTTTGTCTTGCTGGGGGGGGACTCAGGCGTGTGATCGAACAGCAGAAGAACCCCTTCAGCGCCGAGTCCAAGGGCAGTTGGTCATCGAGAGTGAATTCAGTCCTGGTTATTACACCAATAGTAGTACTGGTTGTGCAGTGATTTTTCATCGGGCTTATCGACTCGGCGACCTTGTTCGAGTGTGGGCGAGTCCGAAAGGGGCGGGAGGACGGGCACTGGCAGTAAGAGTGAAGCGCAGCTGTCAGGATTTCTGCTTGGTGGTTCTCTACTTCCCGCCCCAGCCGCGGTGGGCAGCGGAGGTGCCTCACTACCTGGAGACGACGCGCATTCTCGGCAAGTGGCAGGACGAGGTGTTGAGCAGCCTGCCCGTGCGCTGCTGCCCAATCGTGTTCACGGGTGCGAACGACGGCATCGGTCTCAGTCGTCAGTCCGCTAATTGGCAGTACGTCGACGACGGGGTGGTGGCAGAGGAGGCAGCGACACGAGAAGCACGACGGCACGGAGCAGGTGGAACCCTTCGTACACAGGCTGCGAAGCACCACTTGCTGGCGGCGAATGCGAGCTATGGAGTTTGCCCTACGTACTTCGGCACGAAGGGCGGGAGCTCGATGATTGACTACGTGTTCTTCCCCTTTGGGATGGCGGACGCGATTGCGATTGAGCAGTGTCACGCTCTCGGAGGACTGGGAGCGCAACTACAGGCTTTCCGGGGCCCGCCGCCGCAGGATCACATCCCGATCGTGCTGCAGGTCCACCTCCCGCGTTTTTCGGAGCAGATCCAGCGGGCCCCGACGTTGGAGTGGGACAGGGATAAGATCATGGGCGCGCTGCGAGGCGAGGGCGACTTGAAGCGCGACTTCTTACGGCTGGTCGAAGATCGACTGGCTCAGGTGGACCCGCAGTGGACGGATATGCTTCGGCGTGGCGTACCTGACTCCTTCTTCGATTACATGAATCGGGTGCTGGTTGAGGCGGGGCAGCAGATGTTTCGACCAGGACGGCCGCCTCAGCAGCGAGGGGACGCCGAACTCCGACGCGACCTTCTCCGTCAGCGAGGGGAACTGCGAGAGGCACTGGCTACGATGGCGACAGATACGACGGCCCCCGTCGGCACGCGCTGCTCACCTACCCCGCCCGCTGGGCCATCGGGAGGCAGAGGGCACCGGCCGACGGGGGAAACGGAGCGGATGACGACGGCGGTGGCGGACGACTTAACTTCTACACCAGAGACGATGGCGAGGCTAGAGGAGATTCAGGGGCAGTTGAGGGCGGTGGCTCACCGCCTACATCAGCAGCGACGGCAAGAACGAGCAGCGAAGAAGCGTTATATGGAAGAAGAGATTGAGACGGCGTGGAGATCCCGCAAACTGGCTTTGGCGATGCGTCTTTCACGCGAAGCAGGACGTTGTCGGTTTTGGCCGAAGAAGCGAGATGGACGTGCAGTACGGGTGGCTCAACCTACGCGGGAGGAGTGGCTAACGGCCTGGCGTCAGGCAGGCAAAGATGGTGGCATGTCGGCTACGGAGGTGGCAGTTCCAGAGCTGATCGAGTCGACGGACGCGCTGCCTGGCCTGACCGCTGAGATGGAGGAACGCGCTCGAGCGGACATCAGACGGGTCTCGCGGGCTGTACAACGTGCAGGACGACGTCGGGCAGCACCTGATCGTTCCCCTCCAGTGGAGCTGTGGCAGTTCTGTTTCCACCCTGGTAAGCGATATGTACGGGGACGCTGGGATGTTGGGGCTGATGCAGGCATTCCTGACATGGCGAGCTTCAAGGAGGCGATGCTGGGTGGTTTTCGCATGATACGCCGAGCCTCACGGACCCCCAGCCACTGGCACCACAGCACCGCGGTCGGACTGCGGAAGAGTGGCGCACCAGGCGTCAAGGGCAAGCGGGTGGTGCATGTTCTCGACCCCATCGGTAAGTGCTTCTACGCAGAGGTGCTGAAGGTGCCAGCGGACGTGGGCGACTACGGCTTCATCAAACATCGGCGGCGAGAGGGAGCGATTATGACAGCTCAGGTGGTGGCGCGGCGCCTGCGGCACGCGTACCACACGTTCTCGACCCGCCTGAAGGACATGAGCAACGTGTTCGCGTCAGGCTGCCATTCTGAGTTGGATGCTACGGTAGACTTGCACGTCGCCAGCGAGCTGGACGCGCCGCTCGCGCAGCAAAGATATCATGAGTCACGCATCTGCTTGCCCACATCTGAAGGACCCCCTCTGTGGATCCAGCCAGGAGAAGGAGGCACCATGGGGGGCCCTTTCGTGGTCACGCTGTTCAGGGGCACGTTTAGTAGGCCAATTTTTTCCTGGAAGTATCGAGAGTCTCACCGTACGCCACGCGCTCGTATAGCAGAATGGAAGGAAATGCGTGCCAACCTGAGCCTCTTCAAATATGCAGATGACATTTGGAAACTTTATGGTGGCTGCTCGCTTCCAGAGGATCTCGGAGTTTCTGAAGTGGATGCGTATGTCGGATGAGATTCTGGAGGAGGAGTTGGAGGAGGTGGGATTCGTGGCCAATCGAAGCAAACAGGTTTCGCTGATTCACGTCTCGGGAGCAGGAGGCATCAAGGTCAAACGTTGGCTTCGCCACCGCGCCGTTCCCATCCTTGGAGGTGAGTTGCATGAATCTACGCGGTGCCTGGGGCCTCATGTCTCTCTCTCTCGGGGACTACGGGGCCAGAAGTTGCTCGTCGTAAAGAGGCGGCGTCGTCAGGGTTCTACTCCATGGGAGGTTTCTGGCCCCTCAAGTGCCCCTGGAGATGGGCTCGCACTATCCTTATTGGGCTCGTCCAGAATGCGTTAGTAAGTGGGCTGGAGGCGATGATGGTGACCCCCCAACAGTATAAGGATTTGGACGCTCATCTTGCTCGCCTGCGTCGTGCGCCACTGCAGGGGCGGGGTACTTCGCACGAGGGCGCACGCGCGACGACCTGGTCGAATGCTCAGGTGCTTCAGTATTGGAAGTTGGCGCCGAGTGCGAAAGAGCTGCTTGTGCTGCGCCTGAGCTGGCACCGGCAGATGGCACGTTTTCCTGATAGTCATCAGCAGCCCCTGTGTGCACTGTTCGGTCGTTTGCCGCCACTGGAGTTTGACCGCTACAGGCCTTTGGTCGCTGATCGACTGACAAAGCACGCGTCTCCATGGGCTCGTCGTCTTCAGGAGGATTTTCAGGAGGCTTTGAAGATCTTGGGCGTGGAGGCCATGGTGATGGAAGAGCTCTCCGAGTTCCCCTGCAGGTTCGTGGACCCTGGGGTTGCCCCCGACTTCGTCAAGATAGTTTTCTCGGTTATTCGTTCGGCCCAGGTCCGAGCGCAAGTTCCTCCGCCAGGCTATCAGCCCCCGCAAGAGGTTCCCCCACCAGTCCCTGAGGTCCTACGTGAATGGCAGTGTGAGTGGGTGGAGGAGGACGGTAGTAGGTGCGATATGGTCTTTCGTACGAAACGTGATCTACTTAACCATCTTCGTGCGAAACATCATGTCCGTAATGCTGGACACGTTATGTATCCTACTAATGTGTGTGTGGTTTGCCGTACGGTTCTCAGCTCTCGAGTGGTGGCTGGACGTCATCTTGCGCGCTCGCTGGTTCGAGGATTTTGTCGACCTGGTGGGGCTCGGAAGTTTCACCCTTTGGTTCCTCCTGATAGCCTCGCTTACAGAGTTTGTGGGGTCGGACACGCCGATCTGGATCACCTCTGTAGCCATCTGGTTCAGCATCTTCAGCATCTGCCACGCACGGTGCTACCTCAGCGACCTCGCCCCCAATCGGCCCGTCGGCGTCAGCAGCAGCATGGCCCAGGAGGGCACCCCGTCTTGGCTGGCGCTCCCGACGGCAGAGACGAACGGCGCTCCCCCGCACAAGAAAGGGCGCAGCGACGACGACAGGGGCAGCGGCGGCACCAAGGGCTTGAGGGAGACAGCGAAGACGATGGGGCGCCTCGTGTTGGCGGGTTCCCAAGGCGCGCGACGCGCAGTCCACCGCCCTGCGCGAGAAGGCCAACAACGGAGAGCAGGTCGACTACGAGAGCAGGGGGCCGCCGCACGTGGCGATCTCTGCAGCGTCGGTGAAGTGGCGGGGCACGCAGGGCAACCTCGCCAAGCAGGAGCTGACCGAGGGCTTCGCGAGCTTGTGGAAGGACGTGATCATGCGCTTCGCTCCCCAGCAGGCGGCGGCCCTGGCACCCTACTTCCGCTGGAAGCCGCGCAAGGGCAAGCCGAACAAGGGCAACGGCACGAGCAGCAGTGACGACATGCAGGAGGACGCGAAGGGCACCGACAAGAGGATGATCATGTATGCGGTGGAGCTCTCTCACATGAACGGTCCGAAGCTGTCGACGTTGTTGGCCGAGGCGATGGTGGACATGAAGGCGGCTCACAAGCCAGGCGCAGCCCCCCCAGGTCCGTTGCACCGCCAGCTTTCGAAGATGATCAACGATATGTGAGTGCTTCTTCGGCGGCGGGCCCACGTTCATCTACATCGGGTGGTCAGGTCGACAGCCGTGGAGATGCTGGGTATCGTGGGCCTGGCCATAGCACCTTTTCAGTGAGGGGCTCGGTTTCCGAGTCAGTGACGCCTGCGGTTCAGACTAATTTTGCAAGTCCGACGGGATCCGATTGGTCTCAGAGCGAGAGATTTAAGGCTTTACAGGCTGCTGGGCATCTCCCGCCGAGACCCCCTTCCCGTCCTCTTTATGTTCCGACGTCAACTCTCCCTCGACA